CCCCCCTCCCCCACTTACCTGAGCTTCTTGTGCCAGGGCAGCCACATGCTCTCAGCCCAGAAATGCCAGGCCCCACTGTTGTTGGAGCCTGCTGGGCTTCCCCTGGGTCCTACTGCCCTTGGTTCCTGTCATTTTTAACAGGAACCAAGGGCAGAGAAATATTAATTTTCCAAGTTTTTTAGGGGCCTCGCAGGCTGGATTTTGCCCACCTGTTTTGGGTGGTAGCTTGTATTCTAATATTGTATCCTAAGCAACATTTTTCTTCTGTTACATGAAGCAGAAACCAAAAAACAGCGTAACTAAGCAAGTATGTATTGAAAATGAGCTGCATAAGATGTTGATTTTCAAATAGGAAAAAATACTTGTTTTAATGTTAGATATTTTCTAAAACATGAAGAAATGATAACGCTTACCTGACTTACAGCTGAAGGATCTGAACTTGCTGGACCGTTGTCTAAAAGAAACTTTAAGGCTTAGACCTCCTATAATGACTATGATGAGAATGGCAAGGACTCCTCAGGTGAGTACATTAGAGTACACGGTTTGTAATATAATCTTGAGCATAAATCTCTCATATCTGAAGACATGACAGAACCAGAAATTAGGATCTTGAATTTAATAAGTGAAACTCTGAATGATGACAGCAAGTTGTGCAGTGAGGTGCAAAGTTGGGTAGTCACTGACTGACATGTGGGAGCAGTGCAATATGCTCACCTTAGAAGTTGCACCTCTAAGCACAGGCATCGTGCATCTGCTACAGATTATTCTAAGGACATAAAACGTATCACTCTTGTTCTCCAGAATATACATGTATGGCCTTGGAAACTTGTCTGCTTTAGGTATTTGTGACGCATAGAATCAGCCATGCACTATGGCTCTTTTGACAGTGTTAATCTTACCTCCTCTATAAGAAGCAAGTCCTGTCTTCTGCTTGATATCTTGTTCATTTTGTGGTTTTTGAAAAATCCCTTGGGTTTGAAGCCTTGGTGGAAACTCCTCCCCTCTCCTCCAAAAGGGGAGGGAGGGAGAATAGTTGGCTCCCTGAGACCCTGGGGAACAGAGTTGCAGTCCAGCTGCCACCTGAGGCCACAGGTGAGCTCTTGAGCTGCCACCATGACAGAAGGGATGGTCCCCAGGGGGGCAGTGGCAGAGATGAGTGCTGCTACCGCCCCCTGTGATGGTAGCAGCATAGTTCTAGCTGTCAGAGCTCACTGCTGCTCTGCACTCCAGAGCAATGCCAGGCTCTCCTCCAGAGCCTGGCACTGCTGTGTACCCTGGAGCAGCACTGGGCTTCTTGCCAGATGACAGATCCTGGTACAGCTCCATACCCTGAGGCAGTGCTGGCCTGTCCTGTAGCCAGGATTTTCTCTAGCTGTCTGGGAGCCTGGCACTGCTCCAAATTCAGATCAGTAGGTATCAAAGAAACCGCCCCCTCCGTCACCTGTGGGATTGGTGAGGGTTTGAGTTGCTGATCTGAGGGTAGCAATACTGCCAGTGAAAACCCACTACTCCTAGACCCACTGACATAGTTCCTTTGGCAGGGCAGAGGGTGGGCTGTCAATGGTTAGATTCACTGACAGATTCTCCTGTGAGGGGTGGGGAATGAAAGAGCAACCTCCAATTACGCCACGGCTGGGGAACATGCCTTTGTGGTGAGTGTAGAGTTGGAGTAAGGGGCCTCTGAAGAAGCATATTTCCCCCATAGCACTCTCTTTTTATAGTGCTACAAATGAACCAAGGCCATAGGCTTCACATTTCTTTTTTATAAGCATTTTCCTGTGTCAGCCTCCATTAGCAGAGCTAGCTCCACTTCTTACCCAGTAACTTTTATATCAGGATGCTTGAATGCTACAACGTACTTTCTGGTATTTCATCAGTTTGTTGCTAGATGGAGCAGTAATGCAGGCTACATTACTCTGAGAGCACATTGCCTAGCTTGTACACTGTAAGAAGAGATAGGTATGTTAGTCTGAAGTCAGGCAGAAGGTACAGCAGGGTAGCACCTTAGAGACTAACTGGTTCAGAGAAGCAAACTTTTGTAGGTGACAGCTTGCTTAACCTACAGTCAGATGTTGTGGCAATCCTCTACAAAAGCTTATGCCTCTCTGAACCAGTTAGTCTATATGGTGTTACCCTGCTCTGCTTTATAGTACAAGAAGCTTTTTCTCTTAGATAAGAACTGCTTTCTTTATACATGTTCTTCTGAAAATAGAACCTTTTTTTTTTTTTGGTGGCTGGTTAGCTATTTCTCAGCATTTAGACTGTTGTTTCTGACTGGCTAAATAGCATTGCTGCCGAATCAATTTAGGAGCTCTCTCAGTACTGCCTATAATTATTCATCATTTTTTCATTTTGCTTTGTTTTACCAAACCAAAGCCCACATATACTTTGTAGTACCAGCCTCTTCACTAGATGTTTTTTTTTCCTTCTCACTTTATGGCTGCTTTTTTGTAACATGTAGGGCTTCTTTTTCCCCCCTGTAGACTGTTGCTGGCTATACTATTCCTCCTGGTCACCAGGTCTGTGTATCTCCTACTGTTAATCATAGACTTAAGGATTCTTGGGTAGAAGCCTTAGAGTTCAAACCTGATCGTTATCTCCAGGATAATCCAGCAGCTGGAGAGAAGTTTTCATATGTGCCATTTGGTGCAGGTAAGTCAAAGAATACAGTAAGAAATTGCTTTAGGTGGCTGACATAGTGGCAGAATATTAAGGAAGTCATTCAAATACTGGATGCCCTATGCCACAGTTGACTCAAAATCCAATTCACTCTAATAAAAATAAATTCAGTGGTTCCTAGTAAATTTGTAAAGCTTTTCTTGTTGCTTCATGAAGCATCCTTTCAAATGGAAAACTGATTGTTAATGTAAAAACAGCCAAACAGACTATGCAAATGCTGTATAATATATAAAGTAACCCATTCTTATTCTTTTAGTTCTAGTGATTGAAAGTATTACTTGAAATAAATAAAGAAGAAATCTTTAAATTTTTTTACTTTACAGTTTGAGTTTTTAACATCAGGGAAAAACCCATTAATGCACAGTCAGCAACTTTTGTGTTGAATTCTTGCATCAACAATAACTATCATTGTGCATAACATTCAGACTTTCAGAAGTTAAATGTGTGAGCAAGGAGCAACTGCTCTGGAAACAATGTCTGAAGAGTTGGCTGACTTTGTGTTTAAATTCTTCTTTAATACTGTATTAATGTAATGTTTTAGCAGAAAATAGCTGTACATGGTAAGAGATTTGTGAATGTCAAGGTAACTCATGGGAGAAATTTGATATAAGAACTAACATGTTTAATGAAAAGTGATGTGGCTGTTGCCTTTTTTTTGTTTGCTTTTTTTCCTAAGTATTGGCCCCAATCCAGTAAAGCACAGGATTGTATGTTTTTGATGAATTGGGACCACAATTATAATTGTTTAGAACTAATGAACACCTTTGTGTTAAATTTACAGTGTTCTTATTGTATTATTAATGGTGTTGAGTTCATGGAAGTGTGATAGCTCTCTCTGCTCTGTGGACTTCCCTTTAGGTCGTCATCGTTGTATCGGAGAAAATTTTGCGTATGTTCAGATTAAGACAATTTGGTCTACTTTGCTCCGTTTATATGAATTTGATCTCATTGATGGATATTTTCCTACTATAAATTATACAACCATGATTCACACACCTAATCATCCAGTTATCCAATATAAGAGACGGTTGTGCTGAGTTTGTGATATAAATATTTCTGTATCTAAATGGCAAAAATTATTGTTTTGAGTTAAGTGGTTCAGAGAAAATGTACTATCCCATTGGACATGTAGTATAATGGAAACAAGATAAACCTAACTACAAAATATGGAACCATTTAGTACTTTGTACATTCTACAATAACAAGATTTTTATTAGAAAAGGCAGCATTTTATACTTGTGTAATAATTTTTAGGCAGATACCAAATAATTATTAGAATTGAATTAGTTTCAAGTAATCACAGGTGAGGAAATAAAAGGTTTAAATCTCAATTTCTAATGACTCTTTAAAAACCTACCATGTTTGAGCTAAGGGAGCAAGTTTGTGCACTTATGGACACTTGGTGCTGCTGTGCAGTTTGAGCTTGTTACCTCCGTAGTGTGGCTGTGTAAGCATACATGTGTATCCTGAGCATGCGTAGTAAACTATACATGGCTGTGCAGGTATGTGGCTTATGTAAACATGCCTGTTGTGGACCCCAAAGTCACAAAATTATAGCCAGACCAAAAAACACTGACTGGGAGCAAGGGAGAGGAGGAAAGACAATGACCCTTCCATGTTTTAGTGCTAATAGCTAACTGGTGAGAGCAGAAAGGAAGGAGGAAACCTGAGCTGTAAGTCCCCCTTCACCCAGAGAATTTTGAGGCTGCATATTTCTGATTGCTACATGACAGGTTAAGCATTGTCCAGTTTGCTCTTCAGCACTCCTTTTGAAGCAGAGCCACACTACACCTTGCATTTGATACTCACTGGATTAAATGGATGGAGTGAAAAAGATAAAGCTTTCTGTTTCCTGGAAGTAAGGGTCTAGGCTACTTTTTTATGTGGCTGGAAAAATGCCATTTAGGTACACGAATGAAACAATTCCTCTCAAGTGATTTAACTGCCTCAAAATAGGCATCAAAGAGACATTTTCAAAAAACAGTAGGCAAACATTTAAATATAGATTCATTTAAGTTGTCAGGTTGGGCACCCAAAATAGGTTAGTCACTCTTTGAAGTATTGGTGTAGGTATAATAATTAGCAGAACTTCACAATTTTGTGAATGAATAAATAGTAAGCAGAGTAAGGCAGTTGTCAGAAAAATATGCTTATGTCCATGTAACTTTAAATGTGTTCTTTGTCTACAAGAAGCTGAATGAAATAGCTAAATATTGTGCTACTGCTGACTTTTTCCCCCAGTATTGTTAATTGTACATTTTTGAAGTGGAGTTGTGATAATGGATGGAAATAGCTGTGACGTGTAAAAAAATTTAATTAAAATTTATAATTTTTTTTGGTGAAAGTTGTTTTTTCTGTGCTCAGAACAGTGTATGTAGTGTCAAACACTTATTCTTGAAAGATTTTAAAACTTTGAGTTTTTCATTTTGTTTTAATTTTTTTACTACTAAAGGAATGAATAACTATGAACTTGGCATTCAAAAGCATCAATAACAAGTTTCTGCCTCTTGCTGTGAGCACAAAACAGCCTTATTATTTATTAATGGTCACTTCTTATTTTAAACATGGACTAATAAAAAGCCTGAACATGTAAATCCTCACTGTAGGCAATTCCTGTTGTAGGAGGCCCTGATAACAAATAGTTTCTATGGTTGTACAAGAGAAATCAAAGCAATTAAAAATTACAGCATCATAATGTAATCAGTGAGAGCTGGGTTGGGTTGGACTCCTTTCCTAGTCAGTAGCTGTCAGGTTCTAGAGTAGATTACATACTTTTTTTTTTTGGTAAAGCTTGTATTAAATTGCATGTTCTCTTAAACCCAGATGATGCTACCTCCATTATGCTACCCAAAAGTGGCTACCAGGGTCACATGCATACATATACAGCCATCTCTCTGTCAGGTTCATCCCATACTGAGGACTCTCCTAAGAGGAGGCAGATGGTTCATAGGTTATAAGCATTTTTTGTCCCTTGAGCTGGGACTCCACTGGTAAAACTGCTCACCAGACAAAGCATTTGAAAGGACTGAAAGCAATTCTTTATAAACTTATTTTAAGAACCATCTGTCACACTTTTAACCCATGTAGAGCTGCACCAGTGCAAACTGGAAATGGTGAATGGCACATAGTCACATTCACCGTCATAACACCTATAAATCCCCATTCTGCATGAGAATCTGTTGTAGTAAGAGGGACACTCTTCTGACTTGGGGAGCAACAGAAGAGGTTCCTCCACACCTCAAGGAAAGGGGTTCTATAGCAGCTATTTTCTGCTTCTAAAAAGAGGGAATATGGCCCTTCTTGGACCTTAAAAAGCTGAATTCAATTCACTAAGTCAGTGTCAAAATAGTTACCTTGGTATGTATCATCTCATCCTTCAGCTGGGGACTGCATCACAGCAGGATGGTGGTGCAAGATAGTTATTTCCATATGGCTGTCTTACAGGTAATGCCTTTGTTTCATGACAGATCAAGACCAATATTAACGTGAGCTCCTTTTCTTTGGCTTATTCACAAACCTGGGAATCTTTACCCAGATCTTTTCACTCGGGGCTGCATGCCTCAGAATATAAAGTACATGCATCTCAATACCTGGCTGATAGAAGACCCTATGGAAGAGCATGTTAGAAAGTCTACCAACTACACTGGCACTCTTCTACTGCTTAGTCCTGTGGTTCAGCAACCAGAAGTCCACTACGACTCCAGCACAAACATTGGTCTTCACTCACACTTTTCTGAACATGGTGTCAGCACTGGCCTATTCTGCTAGTGTAATTCTGAGCCCTAAAAGAATTTGTTTTTCCACAACAGATGTGAAAGCATGCCTCAATGCTTAGCTATGCACCTTTGTCACAACACATGCCAGATTTCATCTCAGGGACATGTAGGTCTGGCTCTGGACTATCTAGTTTCCAGAGAGAGAGTTTCTGACCATAATGATAACTATCCTGGGTTCTATGTTCTCCATAGGATAGGAGATGGACCAGGTAATGTAGGTTTGGGTGTGGCTTTCCTTCCCTCTGCTGCATCAGGGTTCATGATAATTCAAGTGTATATTGGTTATTTGCAAATACAGGGCCCTCTGAACAGAGGATGAGGAACAGAAGATACTAATTGCAGTGCTGACAAAATACAGTGGGCATATTGTATTCTTACTGGACAGAGAGGCCTTTGAAAAGATGAGCTATTCATACAACCTTACATTCAAACTTAATCTCTGCAGAGGTGCTAACAAACAGAAGATCCAATCCAATTCCACTAGAGATAATGAGAGATTTTTCATAGACTTCAGTGAGAATTCAATTCAGCCCCAAATATGCAGTCATTCAAGAAAGAAAACCAGTGGAAAGAACAGGACACAACAGGATTAAATCTTGCTCCCCAGCTCTCACAGTGGCATCAGTTAGATCAGTGGTTATCAACTCTCTTAGCACCCCTCAATATCTTTTCTGAATTTAGATTCTAGCTCAGTGATTCAGAAAAGTTATGGAGAGCGCCTTGAGGCTAAAATGTGGAGACCCATGGGTTTATATGAAATTGATTTCACTGATGCATATTTTCCTACTATAAATTATACAACCTTGCTTTACATACCTCATAAAGTTATCAGATATGAAACAGTTATGCTAAATTTGAGGAACTTCATTTGATCATCAGTGTTATGAAGATGAGGGAAATCTAGCCATGACATGTGAAACCACTACACCTACTATAACTGCATTCCTGAATCAGTACTCTGTAAGATGTATAATACATTTACAGGGTTTTATTCATAAAAATGCTGTCTTCTATCTGTGTAGCAACTTTAACATGGATTCAGGCCTGACAGTTACTTAGCATCCAACTCACCAGTCAAATCCCAAGTGAGGAAAAAGCTATTTTTCAAGTGTGAATCTTAACTTCTAGAATGAGCATGTGTTAACCTACCTCCCTTCATCCACCTAAACTAAGAAGTGAGATGCAAGTCTCCATGTACAGTGGGACTAGAATCTGTTCTGATGGGATCGTTGTAACAAGCAGGGTTTGACTTGCATTCTGACTCCTGGGGAGCCTGTGACAGTGGCAGCCGATAGCCGGAAGAAGCCACCACTGCTGCCACCTGAGGCGCAGGGCAGGCTCTCGTCTGATGGGGGAGCTCTTGTCTCTTATGGGGGGGCTCAGCCCCATGAGCTCCCCTGTAATTCAAACCCTGGTAACATCTGAAGTTGGAAGGTTTACTTTGTGTGTTTGTAGCCTGTCACAACTGCAGAAATGTACGTACTGTTTTATGTAATAAATACATTCTTATTTTCAAGAATGACCCTAGAATTGCCATGGAGTTTTAATAAAGAAAATCATAATATTTTCACAAGAGGGATAGTAGAATGTTTACATCTTACTGGTCATCTGAATACTGGAAATGGACAATGCACAAAAACTTTGAATGAGTAACTGGGGACTTGAGGCAGTTTTCAGAGGTTTTGTATTTTCATTAAGTGGTACAGAACCATTCCGTAAACATTTAAGTCCATTTAAATTGTGTCAAGGTTACTTGGTCTCATTTTAAAGTAAGCAAATTAATATTAGAATCTCACAAATAACTGATTTCTGCAAATTAGCAAATAGTAAGTAGAGCAAGACAGTTCTCAGATTCTTGGAATGGAAAAGAATGCTTTTTAAACATGCTCCCTCTCTCAGGCAAGCGTATGATGTAACTGAACTTTGCACCACTATGGATTTTTTTTGCCCTCAGAACTTTTGTGTATTTTAAAGTGGAGCGGTAGTAGATAAAAAGTAGTTGCCTTGCAAAGAATTTATTTCAGTTTTTTTGTGACAATTTTCAGTGCTCAGAACTGCGTACATGCATATAAGAAACTTTGACTTAAATTGAAAGCCTTTCTAAATTAACTCTCATTGCTAAACAAATGAATAAGTATGAAATGAGCATCACAATGGCTACTCATAATTATCAGCGATAGTTACTGCCTTTTGCTGTGAGCACAAAACCACCTCATTAAGTCATTTCCCATTTTAAACACAGAAAAAGCTTAGGCATGTTAAGCTCACACCGTAAGTAGTTTTCATTATGCAGAGGCTTAATAAAAATCCTTTTCTGTGGTGGAACAAGTGAAATGAATACCACAACTTCTATAATGTAATGAAGTGCAAACTGGGTCTCTCTGCACTCCTTAGCTGCTAGCAGCCTCCTTGTGCTCAGTATAAACACTTCCTACCTGTTTCTTTCAGCTGTTGAGGTTGAATCACCCAGAACAGTTGTCTGGCTGTAGTAATATGCACAGAAACCAAGGTGGCTCTTCTACTTCAAACAGTTTCAAACAATACAGCATTTAAAAGGATGAAGTCATCTTTTATTTCAGTACTTTGACAAAATACCCATAAAATTCAAAACTTCTACCATTACAAAAATAGGTCTCTACAAGTGATATTTTGCCTGCACTGCCAATAGCAAATATATTAGAAGAGAGTCATGTTAATTCAGTAGCCTTACCAGAAAAACAGTGCAGTGCACTTTGAGCTACACTCTGCAATCTCACTAATGCTTAAGTTTCATACTTGCACCCGCTCGATAAATACACACTTTTTTCATAAGTTAATCATTTAAATTAGCATTCCACAAATATACATGTAAAATTAATGATTGATCTTTTTTTGAATGAACACCAGGTACCTAGATACAGAAATTCCAGTCTGCGTGGATGTGCCAGCAAGGGAACTGTATACAATCGTACTGCTGCGTTCATGTTGGTCCCACAATATACACATTATACAAAAGCACAGGAGCACAGATTTACAAAAGGCAATTTCATTTATGTCACTACCAGTGATGGAAATATTGAAAGGTTATTATCTTCTCATACCACAGTGCAACTGAGTGTAGGAAGCAGAACCTGTAAAATAGGAAAAGAGCGTTTAGGTAAAGTGCTGGGTGACTAAAGAGGTTTACTTGAGGGGTTCACAGGCAGTCATTAGACTATCTACAATAAGCTTCAGATGGCTTCAGTAAAAATTATATTTTAAATGGATTTTTTTTTATGGACAGAGTCAAGAAAAAATACATGGATCTTACATTAAAGTGGCTGGATTAACAGTAACTCTTAGGAGTGGCTCACATGCAGTCTGACAAGGCGTTTTGGATCCCATTAGCTCACAGCTATATTTCTGTTACAGTTATAAAACCAAACATATTTAGTGCTTCATTGGGGAAGTGCCTCCTTCAGAGGTCATGTAAGGGGCAAATACTGCAGTAGGTCTAACAAGTACTGTCAGATAGGGAGCAAAAGGCAGAAGAAAGGCTACCAAGAGGTGAACTTTGTGCAAGTTATCAGAAGTGGACCAGGGCAACTCTGCAACTGGGTTGGTGCCATGCTGACTGCAGTGGTGTGATCATCTGCCACTCCAGCAGTGGCTATTTTTCCAGTGCCTGGGGCTGCTGCGCTCAGTTACACTACAGCATGTGATGACTTGTAAAAACCCTATCCAGCTGGGATTCTTGGCAATAAAATTCTTGCTTCAAAGTGATTTGAGAGCCTAGACAAAAACTTAGTGAGACTCGAAATCTGTCATGTCATGCTTATATGTAATGCATGACTCCATACAGTTTCCTCCTACAGTCGTTCAGCTTTTTTTTTCTAGTGGATATTTGCTGCCTGCTTTCTTTTCAGCTGCCAGCCTTAAATCAGAGAGAAACTATGCCTAAAACTCAGCTTCTGTCAGACTTACTAACAAACCAACAGATGCTCTGCAAGTCAGACCAGGTACTGAGTGACTTGTTTTGCCAAGAGACCTTGACAAGGAAAGCACAAGTATTTACCTGACTGAACACTTCCAAGTCGCCTCTGTAGTGCCTCTAGCCGATTAATGTAATCTGTTAAAGCTCTGTCAGGATCATAATTTTGCAGCTGAGGGCATGCAAGGGAAACTGGATTTATATCAGCATGGAAGCCATGGTACCTAGAGGAAGAAAAACCATGAAATATAGCTTTTAAAATTTAAAAATACTGTACTGACATTCTGTTTCCAAAGGAAACTGTATAAGAAATAGCTAAATGTTATAGCTGTAAGTATCTATGCTGACCTTTACTATTACCTTTTACTTTCCTGAGGACATAAATCCAGCTAATTAACACCTTCCAAGTCCACAAGAGGTCTAGTTCAGTCCAGTTCCAAAAGTTTCAGTATAGCAAAAATATTTAAATAAAGCCAAAGAACATTTATTAAGATATTAAAATCAAACACCTATAAATATGGGGTATAGGCTGGAGGGAAATTTGGAGAACTCAGCAAATTCAAGGAGACTTGCTGCCAATCTACACACCTCCTCCCACCTCAAGCCTCCCCAGCCTGTATAGGTAAAAATCTAGGTTGTGCTGTCACAAATAAGCCAAATAAGACTTAGGGATAAATGTTGTTTTGTGTTTGAAGTGCAAGCAAATAAAAGGTTGGGATGTGGACCTATTTCTGCCTCTCTTATCAGTAGCCAACCCACAAGGTTATCTGTCATCTGAATAACATGGCCCATGGTTTGAAAAAGTTTGTGAACTATTGGCACCTGATTTTCAGATAGCCTAAGGGATACACAACTCCATACAAACTCTGTAGAGGTTACAAACGCTCCAAAAATCTTGTCTTATGTGAAATCCTGGCTCCACCAAGGTAAAAATTTCACCTCTAGTGCTATGATGGCCAGTCTTCTGTGTGGCCATGAAAGGGTTTGCACAAAACATACACATCATTTTGCAGCAACTAAAATTGGATGGTTTTAAAAGTTGATTGGTTCTGTTGACTACTGTATTCATCAAAAGGCTAAGAACAGACAAGCCAGGGCTTCAACAGGCACATGAAGAAACTTGGAACAATGACAGGGAAAACATGGGATGTTACCTACAAAAAGTGAAATTCCCAAACTTTGAGTCCCAAAATGACACTCATATTATTTTTTAGAAAACATTTACTATTATTTTGGACAAACAGTGATAATTAAATGAAAAGTCACCTTTGCTGAGAATTTACAGGAGATCGGGGAGACTCCAGGTCTGATCTGGATCTGAGAGAGGAATGTCTCTGTTCTCCATAAAGATCAAGACCACCAGAGAAAGAATCAGACCGTTGCTCATTACCTAAAACAACAAAAAAGTATCATCCATGGGAAAAATACCAATCCCTTTAAAAAACCCGGATGTTTTGCACTTTAATATTCCAAATGCATTTTTCTCTTTTACATGCAAGAAAATGAGATTGGTGAAACTACAATTGGTTAAAATAGCAAAAGCAGTAAAGCAATGCATGTCCAACATGATCAGCTGCCTTAGCACCATAAAATAATGTACATGTATATACATAAGCTGCCTACCGGTCTTACGTGGATAAGTCAAATGGAAGCCTCACCCAGCTCTACTAGCTGTTCTGTTCAGCAAGGAAATCATTTGTGGAAAACGGGCTCTGCCAAACACTTTTCCAGTTTACAAACTATGGTTGATTCTCTTTCCTTCATCCTACTCAGGGACAATCACTGCAGTTCTCTACTTCTCAGGATCTCGCTTACTACTATGAGATCTAGCCAAGACTTCCCTTTGAACGACTCTCAAAAATATCTAACTTAAACTGCAGAAAGTAACTTTGAACACCAGCAGGGGCTACAGATGCAGCACAGGATGCTCCTTGTAAAAACAAATAAATTCTCAGATACAAGTTTGATTTTTGCTACTGCTTGAACTTCCTCAGTTTTGAAGCCATTAAGCTCAGCATGGAATGCCTCTGAGACTGATATGACTGGCACCAATGCAACTTGTACTAGCTGATTTAGTAGCTGTACTAGCTCTTTTTGCACTCTCTACAAGAAAACAAGTGGGGAACCAGATATCCTAGATTCTAGCTATGTCCAAGGGATGTAAGATTTTTTTTTTTTATCTGACTTGAGATGAGAACAAACTGGGAGGAAATACTTCCCAGTGCAATGGCATAGACAAAGGGTGCCTGTAGACACATGGGATGCCTGCTCTGATGCACTGTAATTATAGTTTGTTGGAGCAGACTCAATTAATTGAGTCTACTGGAGCATGCTTATTAGCACGCTCCACCAGCCTTGGCATCTGGTGTATTTTGTGTCCTTGTGCTTCAAAATGGTGGCGGGGGCACTTTAACTAAATCTCATTTGACATGCTTTAGATAAAGTGCCCCTGCCACCATTTTGAAGTGTGGGATGTTGAATACACGAGACACCACGTGCTTTAATTAGAGCAGCTTCTAAGAGACACTATAAATCACCTCCCCTGCCCCCTCCCGGAGCACATGTAAAGATGCCCAGGGTTGGGACCAACTGTGGTATCCAAAGTTCATGTCTGTATGTCCTGGATTTATTTAGAGTTCCCACAGGTGTGAAAGGGGTCTCCTGGAGCACACTGCAGGAGGTGCAATTCACACACAGAGCACAAGCCGACTAAGAGAAGTCTGCCACATTTTGGAAAGCCTGTCTACTGAGATATAAAGTAAGGCATAACAGTTGGGACACTAGTGTCTGTGCTGAGTGGAGTGGCCCAGAATGCTGAAGGGGCGACTAGACAGCCAAGGAGAAGCCTGGTCTGGATGGTGCGGTGAAAGGAAGAGGAAGGAGAGTTCCATGCTACATGAACCCAACCTAAACTGTCCTTCCCTCAGCACTAGTGTACTCTGTGGCAATACCTTTTCTTCAGACATCCGTAGTCTACAATTTACCTGTGTTTTGGCTAAAGCCATCCCTGTTGATACTTATGAAGCTGAAACCTGTAACCCGGTGCCACCGGTGAACCAGGAACTTCATTCTGCATTTAAAATAAGAGATTTAAGATTGAGAGGTATTGCCTTTCCAAATAACGTACTTACAATATTCTGAGGCATAATAATCCACATACCACAAAACCAAACGTAAAGGTAGATTTAAAACCTACAAAACTGGAGTAAGCAGAAAACATCCTTACACACAGACTTGCAATCTTAAGGAAAATGTTTCAGCTATATGCTTATAAAATGCACAGCCCCCCTGGGGAAGGCACTAATGATCAATTAATTCTTTTTAAAACTTGTTAAGGTATCCCATATACTCTGACATTAATTAATTAAAGAATGCAGAGCTCAGCAATTGGGAACAATAACTGGGCTGAACAGTGTATTACTGTATCCAAATCATTCCCAGGATCTGGGCTGTTTAACTCAGCACTCTAAAAAATTCACTGTTTTCAGGACAGTAGGAGACTTACAATAATTTAAACAGAGTGGACCACAAAGCACTCTAGAACATGCTACGTGTTGTTTTTGGAAAAGCATATTTTAAGTTGCATATTCACATTTGGTTAAATTGTAATTTCCTGTGATGTACCTTGAAATTGCAATGGACACTCTGACTGCAGAACGAAATCTGGTAAAACCCTTTGAATGACGTGTAATCACTTCTACATCAGTATAGGAAGGTTGCCCACCCATTCTTGCAATGAGGGCCAGGGTGGCTTCTTCACATTCCTGGAATCCACCTAGTAACAGCAGCAAGTATTTTTTCTGGTATATGAGTGCTTTCCGAAAGCTCTCTGCTCTCAGGTATTTTCCATAAATTCTCTAGATGTTAAGAAAGAAAGAAAACACTGTAAGCCAGTCATTCAAAAGTTTATTAGAATTCAAAGATTACTAACATCGCCAAACAGTTTAGCTGCTTTTATTCTCTCCCTGTAACCATGAAAAGAATAGGATCATAAGCAAGTAGGACTGGAAGGGACTGCACAAGGTCATCTAGTCCAGTGCTTCTTAACCCGTGGGTCGTGGCCCCAAAGTGGGTAGCAAGAATATATGAAAGGGTTGCGAATAAATTTAAAAAATGGATTCTCTTTTAAAGGAGAAAACATGGGAAGCCGTGGCTTTTCCCTTGAAGCCTGGCAGAGTTCCAGCCTGCAAGGGGTTGCTTGGGGCCCCCCATTCTCCCCACCTGGCCCATATACCCACCCCCTGCCCCACACACTGTGGGGCTGGAGGCAGGGGACAGTGGGTTGGGAGTGAGGAGCACTGGATCAGGATTTGCCATTTATGTTTACAAATGGGTCCTAGTACAAAAAAGGTTGAGAACCACTGATCTAGTCCAGCCCCGTGCTCAAGGCAGGATCATCCCTGACTAAACCATCCCAGCCAAGTGTCCATCTAACCTGCTTCTGAAAACTTCCAAGGATGGAGCTTCCAGAATTTCTCTAAGTAGCCTGTTTCAGTGCCTGACCACCCTCAGAATCAGAAAGCTTCTCCTAATCTCCAACCTAAACTTCCCCTGCTGCTCCTAGCCCTGGGACAGGGCTAGGAGACCATTGCTCGTAGCCCTGTCCCAGACAGCCACAGAGAAAAGCCCATCCTCCTTATAACTAACCTTCAGATATTTGAAGATTTATCAACACCCCCCCTCCAATCTTCTCTTCTCCAAACTAAATAAATCAAACTCTTTCAGCTTTTCCTTGTTAGTCTTGCACCCCAGGCTTTTGCTGGGATCACTTTTGCTGCTCCACACGTACCCTTTCCAAACTGTCCACATCCTTCTTTAAGTGTGGGACCTAAAACTGGATACAATACTCTAGGTGAGGCCTCACCAGTGCCGAGTTGAGTGGAAGAATCACTTCCCCTGATTTGCAAGTGACACCTGTGTTAATACAATCTAGTAGGCTGTTGTCTTTTTGCAACAAGAGCACACTGTTGTCTCATTCAGTTTAAGGTCCACTGTAATCCCCAGGTCCTTCTCTGCAGTATTGCAGCCTAGCCACTCAGCAAAAAGTATAATGTAGAAAGCAGGAGCATGTGTAATGTTGGATCTTACTCACAGGGAGCAGTTAATGGACTTATACTTCTCTCACACCAAGGCTATATAGACAGGTGATAAAGGCAGCAGTGAAAAACAGGCCCAGTTCTATGTATGAGACCCATCTATGTTAGAAAACACTGGCAGAGAAATGCTTCCTACTTTTAAAACGGCATTTTCAGACTCCGATCCCAGTTCTCTCAGAAAAGCTTCATTCCTGAGTTCTGCTCTCAGTTTGGACAGCTCTGCATCAGCTTGTTTCAAGGATTTCTGCAGCGACAGCTTTTCTCTGTTCCAAATCTCTCTTTCAGAAGCAGTGAGTGTGTCAATATTAGTTCCATTGTCCAGCACACGTCTAGAAGACTGAAGAGGGAACAAACCTTATTTTTATTGTTAAACACCCGGTATTCCAAATGGTGTCGCTTCCACACTGGGACAGTGATGAGCTCATGTTAGTGAATGGAAGACCCAAGGTCTGTTAGTTGCTAGTCTTGGTGACAGAATGCAACTCACATGGAGAGGTACAAAAAAATTATAAGGAAAATTGCAGCCATCAATGGGAAGGTTAGTGAAGCCATAAAACAGTCACCTGGAGTGATATGGGAACTTACCAACACTAACGGACAACACTTCTACCAGGAAAGTCACCATTTTCCTAGTAGAAACTAGAAGCATACAACCGTTCACTCAGTTTCTCCCATAGGAAACATGCCCCTTTCAGGAAATCTTTCAGGTCACAACCTAGAAGATCTTCTCTGCAAGAAAGTTTGTCTCCTAAGAGTGAACATTTGTACACCCCTCTTTGGGTCTGGTCCCAGGTGGGAACTGGAGGAGCAAGGCAAACCCCTCTAGTTGTTTCCTTGACTGAGATCCCCAGGCTGAGGGGCAGGTGGGGATTTCCTGCCCTGCTCATTTTGCAGTTCCAAGGCCCTCAGGGCTGAGTGGAAGAGCAGCCCCCACACTTGCTCCTCAGACCTAAGTCTTGGTGTAAGAAGCGGGTGGGGGGCTTTGCCCTGCTGCTCCCATGTTTTCCCTAGACTGGGATCACCCCAGTCTCAGAAAGGTGCAAGGAGCCACAGAGAGTGGGCATTTGCAGGCTGGACACCTGCACTGCTTTCGCTCCTGGAACCATTTTTAGGGTCAGAAATTTTCCACTATTAAAAATGAAAGCCTGTTCACAGCTCAAGACAGGCAAGTCACAGGAAGCTAAGAGAGCAAGGCAAGGAGCTACTCATATTGCTGGTTTTGAAAGGGGGAGATGTAATGTGGTGTTTTTTAGTCTTTGTACACTTAATTACACAGTGCAATAAGAAGAGACGTACATAATCTCCGCAAGGTCCTCTCTGCTGATGTTGTCTGACTTTCTCCTCCAATTTTATGACAGCATTCCTCAGATTGTTCTTTTCCTCACTCAGTCTGCTGACAAACCCTGTCAGCTCAGCATTCTGTCTCAGCAGCCCCTCAGTAAATGACCTAGAGGAGGATCCTGGTGGTAACAGTAACTTTAGCTAGAAATGAAAAAAAGCTTGTGTGAGATCAGTTACTGTTGTGGATAATAACAGTACTCTGTTGCTTCATCAGAGGAATCTGAAGTATCCATGCATTTAAATCCCAGGTCAGTCTAATGTTAATTTTTGTGAAATGATTACTAGGGACCCACCTACATTGCAGAGAAAGTTTGTGGCACGGTAGTGCCTTTCATTTTGCTTTCACCACTGTGCCCCCCACCCCCAGTGGCCAAGAGGTTAAAACCACAACATTAATTGCCTTGGGGGGTGGGGGGGTAGGAGTGTGTACAGCAAAAAGAGCACGATTAAAGGCACCACTGTGCCATGAACTTCCACTGTGATTTAGGGAGGTCCATAATGATTATGCTCAATAGCAGAACAACACAGCAAGAATCTAAATCGCTCTGATTTCTTAAAAAAAGTACTTTTTATTTTTTTTATATCTGTTTTTATCTTGGAGCAAAAAGAAAAAGACAGCTAATTTTCCGCTGCTTTAAAACACACATTTTATACCACTGTTGCCTTTGAAGATGAGCTCAGTCAAAAACTAAATACTGCTGAACTATTACCATATTTACTTGATTAGAAGATGAGACTTTTCCCCCATTTAACATGAGGAAAAAAGCCCCTCACCTTACAATCAAGCATGAGGAGGTAGGGGCAGGGGTTGGGGCTAGGGCCAGAGCTTCAGCTGCTGCCTGCTCCCCACGGACTCTGCACACCCAGCCACTCCTTCCTCACTTCCCCAGTCTACCCACTGTGCTGCTTCTCCTGCACTCCTCCTTACCTTTGTTCTATGCTGGCAGGCTCTGTCCTTGCTGCAGCCTGGGGCACAGAGCACGTGCTCCAGCCTGACTCTGTAGAAGAAGTGCCAGCTCAGTGCCACTGCTGCGGGGCCAGGCTGGAGCCATGCTCTACACCCCAGAGGGACTGAGCCTGCTGGTGGAAATGCTTGTGGAAGGGAGGGAGACTAAGGGAGAGGGGGAGACAGGAGAAAGGGGAGGTGGGGGATCCAAGACTGCAGGGAACAGAAGCAGCATGGAGGGGAAAAAAGGGGGGAGGGGGACTGGGGCAGCCTGAAGCTGCAGGGGGGCAGGTGACAAGGGGTAAGCTGCCTGCCTCGCTGCCTATGTTGCTTGCCTCCTACATCCTCCACTTTGTGCCCCCTTGCAGCCACCCACTGCCTGCTCTACCATGTGCCTCCCTACTGCCTGTCCTCCACCTACTCAATTACTGCCCCCCTCACCTTCCCTACCATATGCCCCCCTACTGACTCCCCCATGGTCTGTCCCCCACTGCCTGCCCCATTACCATCCTCCTCATCACCTCTTCCCCTCAGCACCTGCAGCAGTGTGGGGGATGAATTTAAGATGATCCTCCAATAATTAAATTCCATACATGGAAAGTTATAATAAATGTATAAATTTTCCATGTGTAGAATCTAATTATTGGCATGTTAAATTCAGGGTCATCTTGCATTAGAGTAAATACAGTATTTCTCTTTTACATATTACTTCATTTCAAATATTCAAAACTATATGTAGACTTTCCTATTGCCTTTTAGTATATACATAATAGTTTGATTTCACAGGCTATACTAACACAGTATACTATGCAATAAATGTTGATCTACTTCATCAGAGCAGCACTGAGTAAAGATTTTCTCAGGAGGATGTAGCTACATCTTAACCAAAAACTGAGTATGAGACTAAGTCACATTTTACTGTGTAATTTTACACAGTAAAAGAAACATATACAATTCACCTCATGTAACTGGGGCAATCCAGGTAAGTTCTGCAACTGCAAGAGAACATCTTCAACAGTATTTTGAACTCCAATGAAGTCTTCATTGTCTGCTGTTTCAAACTGCAGTCTGAAATGAAGAGCAAATATATACAGCACATGTTATCTAAAACTGGAAAATTACACTGAGATATTTAGGTCTCTAAACCATCAGATTTCTACATTTCTGAAAGCAGACATGGAGTTACTTGGGAACCTTATTAAAACCTTTTGGCCTATGAGCATATTTATCAGAGAAACAGAGATCTTCAGAGGTGCTCAGGGTCCTATTTTGACATCTATATTAAAATGGCCAGTCTGTAAATTGCTTAGCAGCGCAACAGCTGCTATCATTACTAAAGAAAGCTGTTCAATTCCAAATACTTTTGGAAACCTCTCTCAAGATGTCCACAAACTTGTCAAAGTTGCTTGAACACTACTCTTTTTTTGCTTGAATGCTCATGTAATGAAATTCTTCTTTACTGAACAGTATTCACAGCAGAAAAAAACCCTGATTTACATTACGCTCCTATGTGCTGGTAACACTAATTATTAGGGCTGTGCATAGCTTCAGCTGCTGATTCGATTGGAGGAGATTGGGGGTATGATTTGGTGGCCGAATCTCCAAATCCAAATCAAATCAGGAGACCCATTAATCTCTCCAATCAAATAGGAAGCCTCTGATTCAATTCAGAGAGATTTGAGGATTCGGACACAGACAGCTTTATATGTTTTTTCTACATACCTCAAGGTACCAGGTGACTCATGAATGCTGAGATGGTGGGGCGGATGGAGCATCCTACAGGAGCATGGTGGGGAGGTCTCCAGTGCACTTGGCGGTGGACCCAGAAGTGGACCAGAAGCAGTTCCAGTCCACTTCTGGGTCTGCTGCGGAGTGCACAGGGACCCGCCCCCACCTTCCCCTTGGCCCCTGGCTCTGTGACTGGTGCCTCCTGGGTCTGAAGGGTATATCTGGGGTCCCAGCCAGCTGCCGAGCTGGGATGGCTCCCCTGCACACTCAGCAGCAGACCTGGAAGTGGACTAGAAGTACCTCTGGGTCCGCCACCGAGCACACGGTGGCCCCCCACAACGCTCCTGTGGGATGCTCCATCTGCCCCACCATCTCAGCATTTACAAGCTGTGCCTGGTACCTCAAGGTATGTAGAAAAGACATTTAAAGCTGTGTCTATGGCCAAATCGCTGATTCTCCAAATCAGCATCGACTCTTCAGATTCGGCCTTATCGAATCAGGACAGCGATTCAAATCAGCGAATCGAATCACTGTCCCCCAAATCAGGCCAAGTCTGAGTAGAATACGGCCCATTTCGCACCCCCCTACCAATTATATACATCACCTCTCAAGTGGTGGCCAGTAAAAGAAGGTGCAGGTGTGAATCTGACCATGAATTAAATATAATTACTCTTTCAGAGATTCCATGGTATTAAATTCTGTTTCACTACATTCATATTCAAATACTACATTAAATTAAAAAATTTTCCTAATTTTTTAAGGGTTTTTTGTTTTTGTTTTGTTTTGTTTTTTTTTTTTACCTACAAGCTCAAATGTACTCTTTTCCCTTGCACAATATATTTTTTAATTGATAAAGGATTGCATAAAGCCAGAGACGATCCGAGCAGGGTACAGGGCCCAGGGCGAATCAGCCTGTGTGAGGTCCTGCCCCCAGACACAAGGAAGCCAGTAGCAGCAGGGTGGGGGAGGGGTGCTGAGCGGCCTGATGTGAAGCTGGCGGCAGCACTGAGTCACTGCGCCACTTTGCCTGGCTCTGCAGGGCCCCCCAAGGTGCGGGGCCCAGGGTGGTCGTCCCAATTCGCGCCCCGCCCCCCAGGGATAACCCTGAATAAAGTGCTAATATTTAGGGCAGAATTCTGCTCTGTGATCAGTTTTACACCATAGTAGCTCAGCTAACAACTGGATTACAACAGGAATGAATCAAGTTTGGGGATCCGGATTCAAGTGCTAAAACATTAGTTCATTGGTTGCTGTTAGCAAATACAAGAAATTAAAGAACCATCCAAACCTCCTAGCAGCCTTGTGAGCCAACTGCTTCAGCTTCGAAGACATATTTTGTAGCTTTTGTCTAATGTTGTCCAGAACACTGCTACCCACAGCTAGGTCACCTCCTTTTGTTTCCATCAAGGTAGGGTAGGTTGGTTCATTGGCTTCAGCTCCTTCCATTTTCTGCTGGAGAATCCAATTTCTTGTTCTCTCATTTGACATGTCACATGTAGTCTGAATGTGTACATATAAAAATACATGTGAGGAACTATTTGTTTAAACTGAAAAATACTTAACTGTGGAATAAAATTTGTTGCATTCAAATTTAAATAGTTTGAGAACAAGCTTAATATAAAGACTATAGCATACGCGTTGTGTTAAATTAATTCTGTGCTGAATAATAATCAATATGGCCCTAATGGAATTAAAGAGGTTGTACATGGTCTCACTAAGTGCAGAATTTAGTTGCTGTTTCTTTACTTTAGCTAATATATGGTATTTCTAACAAACATTTCCAAACAAAGAAGCCTTCTTTATGCCCCTTGAAATTGGGCACGTGCACACACTAAATAGAGTGGCATTAGGTGTTGTGCCACTAGCCAACCCCCAATCATCTAGAGCAGCCTGGAATAGGAATTCTGTGCTCATGAGGCTGGGTGACTGGCCTGCCTAGTGATGGATATACCTTCAGGCTATGCTTCCTTCTGCTATGAAGTATAACCCCCTATGATTCTAATAGCAAAGGATGTGTAGACATCCTCATTACTAGCATCCAAGGTCTAGTCCAAATCAAGGAGACCACTGAAAACTTTGAGCAACAAGAGTCAGAGTAACAAATAAGTTTGAGGAATTTACTCTTGAATTGTATTGCCCCTCTAAGTCTTTTATCAGAGATTTAAGAGCCTAGTAGCACATTCAGTTCAACATTTCACATTCCTCTAACATTTCCCATACCTCATTTAGACTCTGTTCTTTTCCTTTGGCTGTTTCTTTTTCCTCCCTGTCCTGCTCAGTTTTCTGCAGTTCTTGAATTATTTCCTGCAATCTCTTTGTTTCATGCTGTAGTTTGTGAATCTGTTGTCTCTTCTCCCCAAGCTGCCACTGAAGATCTTCCACTTTGGACTCGAGTTCATGTATCTTCTTCTGTGCTAGGATGTTAGCATCTTGCTCTGTTTGCAGTGCCTTCTTCTGAATCTGTTTCTCTTTTTCCATCTGCTGTCTCACCTGCACAGACTCCAGTTTATACTTCTCCATCTCACTGACTAACTCTACTACACGGTCATGTTTTTCATCCATTTGTCTTTGTAGCTCTTTAAACAATTCGTCTGAAGGATTAGCAATTCCCTCCTGCTCCTTAGCTTCAGCACTCTGGAGCTGGGCACAAAGCTCTTTCTCCTTTTCTAAGGCACTGCTCATTTCAAGAACTCGGGCCTTTTCTGTTTCAAGGAGTACCTGAAGCTCACAGTTACGGCCTTGCTCATGTGACATCTGGGCAATATTCAGTGCTTCCTGGGATTCTATTTTCTGCTGCAGGTCACTTGAAAGCTGCTTTTCCTGTTCCAAAAGTCTATTTAACTCCGCATTCTTTTGTTTTTGATCCTCAAGTGAAAATTTCAAGTCCTTCCATAAAAAAGAAAAGAAATGGATCAATTATATTATATAAAAAAATGCTTATTTGCCAAGAATGTTTTCGAAATGTAAGATCTGGTTGATTTGCTGCTAATAGGTTTGGGTTTTTTAAATAAATATGTGCATAAATCTAATGGATTCTACTAACTGATTTATTTTAGAGCAAGTATAATAAGAATAAATATAACTGACCAACTGGAGAATTATGCTGACCCATTTTAGTCTAAGGATACCTGTAAAATATAATTTTTGTAAGATTGCCCTGACCTTCAAAGTAAAAAAGTCATGGCTACTGGTAATTAATGGCTTTACATTCGTAACAATAAAAACAGAATTTCAAAGCCAGACTTTTTTTTTCCTTCTAACTGTAACCTGTTATGAAATAAATTATCATTGCATTCACATAATTTAAGAAAACTGAAATACTATATACTCTAGAGGAACATGTTCTGCCTGCTTGGAAGGTACAAGATAACGCATTGCAGAAATTCTACTGGTAAGCTCTGATTTTATGCGATGGGCTAGTAAACTTGGGAGGGGGGTGCTACTGATGTTTGAAATGAAAGCAAACATCATATATTTCTAAATAGTGCTAAGAACATGCTATCCAGCTGTGGAGGGGCTATGTACACTGCCATCTTAGGCAAAAACAGCTCCTTAAAGCTGTGGTGGAAGAAGAGGAGTTGATGGAAGAAATTAATCCTTTCCATTCTGAACACCATGTCTGTGTCCACACGAGCAAGGGTGTGCATTTGCAGCAGCACAAATTTAGTGGCACAAATAGCGGCATAAATTTGTGCTGCTACTTTGTGCAGCAGTGCACGCCCCTGCCCATGCGTTTTGCAGCAGGACACATTGGGCACTTTTCCATGTGCTCTGGGACGTAGCACTGCATGCTTTAATTAGCAAGTTGTGCTAATTAGAAGTGCCTGTGTGTCACGTGCATCAGTGTCCCCCGCGCTGAAAAAATGGCAGTTGGGTGCTTTGAACTAAAGCTTGTTAAACACATTTTATTTCAAAGTGCCCTACTGCCATTTTCTCAGTGTAGAGATGCTGATACATGTGACATGGAAGGCAGCTGGAGCATGTAAATTTCTGTGCTCCAGCAGACTCGATTACTTGAGTCTTCAATGAGCTGGATTTCCAATGTGTTGGACCAGGCTTCCTGCACACTCTAGGAGCCCACTGTCCTGTTGCTCCATGTGCTTTAGTGGGGCTTGACTAGGGCACAGTGCACCTCAGCATGGGACCAGCTGACAGATAGCCCCTGCACTGAGGCACCTTGTACTCCAGCCAGCTGGGGAGCAGCACATGGAGATAGGGAAGCAGGCTGTCCTAAGCTGCTGCTCCCCCAGCTCTGTGAAGCCCCTGCACTGAGGTACCTGGCAACCTAGCCAACCACTCCCCAGCTGGCTGGGGCACAGAGCCTTGAGATGGGACAGCAGGCAGCCCTGGGCTGGCTGCTCCCCTGTCTCCATATGCCTCAGTGCGGGGCCTCTGCTGTGGAGCCCCATGCTAAGACAGGTGGAGTCCCTGTCTTGAGGCACACTGAGCCCAAGCCAGCTGCTCCCCCTGTCTCAAGGCACACTGAACCCCAGCCAGCTGGGCAGCAGCTGACTGGGGTACAGCGTGCCTTGAGATGGGGGCTCCACATGCCTCAGTGTGGTGGTTCTGCAACTGGGGGGTCCACTCCAAGGCACGCGGAGACAGGGGAGACCCAGCCTAGGGCTGCTTGCTCCCCAATCTCAGGGCACTCAGCACCTCAGCCAGCCAGGGAAAGGCTGGCTGGGGTGCAGGGTGCCTCAGTACAGGGGTTCCACAGTGTGCAGAGACAGGAGAGCAGGCTGCCTGCTCCCCCATCTCCACATTTGTCCCAGAGCATGCCACTTTGGCATGCTTTGCGCTGCTTTTTTTTCCAGGTGTACTTTTTTTGGCTACTGGAAAATCCTGGTAGCAGATTTTGCCTTGGTGCTACAAATTAGCATCACTGCGCATGATTTAACACACCTGCATGTCTGGATCCAGCCTATGAGGCTGACACAAAGCCTCTACGTCAGTAAAATGGAATTTGTATTAGGCCCTTTCTGTCTTGACCCTTTTATGGGAGAAATTCTCTGTACCTCCAACTCAAGAGAATGCCCTGGAGCAGCACAGGGCACAATCTGGTGCACAGACTGTACAGTACATAAAAAATGTTAAGCAGAGAATAAGGATACTATCTGTATGCCTTCTACTGTTCAGGTTAATTTCACATACCTCAAGCTCTTCTCTTCCTCTTTCCTCATTGCGTTCCATTTTTGCTTTTTCCTTTTCCAAAGCCCACTGTAGCTCTCTTGATTTTTTCTGTTCATTGGCCATTGTATCCTTTAATACATCTAATTCATTTGCTTTTTCTTTAACCTCAGTCCTAGGAAAGATAAACACATACAACCTTCAGGATGCTTTATGATGTCAAAAACATTTAAACCTTACAGGAAAATGTTATTCTATACTCAGCAACAAATCTCATTTTATTTATAACTCACCTCTTAAATGCTCTAACAACCACATACTTACTCAGGTTATCCTGAAAGTTGGGAGTCGAGTTAAGGCACAGAGCACATTTAGTGTTTGGGGTATTTGTTCTAAGGGTTCTTGAGACACTGAACCCCTCAATAAGTCCCCAGATATTTTTAACATTTACCCAAAATGTTCTTAGTTGCTTACCATCCCTACCAGTGGATATGGTATACACTACCTCTTTATGGGAATAAAACTGAAACATTTCATGGAAGAGGACACAAGAAAACTCAGGGAAAGGCTGATTCATTTACTCTAACTCATTAAGGTAAATGCCAGCCCAGCTCTTGTGGCAAAGGGATTACATGAAAGAGAAACCAATGGAGTTGCCAAAGACTTTTTTAGTTTGCCAGTTTCCACATGGGTAGCTCGCTCCTGGGGTTATGCAATATCAACAGAATATGTACATGTCAGCAACAGTCTGAACTCAGTGCTTGGTCAAAACCCAGAGCCATAGGGCAGAGAATTATGTTGCTAAAATCTTTCTGTCAAAAGGTATCTTTTTCTTAATTTTAGGGACATGCAATCTGAACACAGCACAAAATTACTAAGAGATTCACAGACAGGCAAGGTTATTTAGGTAAATGTGATATCTTTTATGAGACCAACTAAATCAATTAGTCTAATAAAAGATATCACATTTACCCAAAAAAACTTGTTCGCGTATGTTCTTAAACCAACGCAGCTACAGCTAATACCTAAGCAACTCACACTTATTTTTAAAAAGGAACTAAACAGGGAAATGCTCATGAGGAGGGGATGGGGACTGAGGGACAAATAGGGATGAATGTTACGGGATAGAACAGGGGTTTGCCAGGAGTCATGTCAGTGGGTAGGGACCTCACTCTCTAATTCCCATCCAATATGCCCACAGGACACACATGCTCACTCTGCCTTTGTAGTGTACTGGCCAGGATCAGCCTACATCTGCTCTACAGCTAAACAGTTAGTATATTTCCCAGGAAGGCCCACAGGCTGGAGAAGTTAAAAAAAAAATCACCCAGCAACCAAAAACGTGTGTAATTACTTTTTTTGTCACTGAATTTAACAGATGGGCACATATTAAGCTACTCTTTATACCAATACGCAGGAAACATATTTACAGATCTAATTAAAAGGAAGTTGTAAGCATGATTTCAAATTCAGCATCCTGGTATTTTTGCCTCTGATCTCACAAAAATGGCAAATCCACCACAAAAATCTTCCTATTTCAAACAGACAAGGTTCATCGAGTAAAAGTGATATCTTTTATTAGACCAACTAAATAGTTGGAAAAACTTTTTTTCTGCAAGTTTTCAGGTACAAACACCCTTCCTGCAAAGAATTTTTTTCCCAACTATTCAGTTGGTCTAATAAAAGATAATCACATGTCTACCTGAGAACTTTGTCTGCCTATGTCCTTAGACCAACACAGCTACAACCAACACCCCTATTTCAAACAGGCTTCTCTGTAGTGCTGTGTTTTGCAGCACTATATGTAACAAGTGGACCGATAGTCCAAGAGGGTCTCTTAGGTCTTTGACACATTATATATGTAGTTTACAGTCTGTAGCCCTGAAAAAGAGAGAGAGCGAGCTGTGGATGGGCACAGACCCTGGCTGGAACACAACAAAGATGCCACAAAGGCACATTTTTGGGGCAGGGGGTGACAAAGGGCTTCTGCTTAGCACCCTCTGCCTCCAGGGGTGGGGAGCATTGGTACACAGGACAGGCTCACTAATAGGCTTGCCTGATCAGCTGTTGCCACCATGAAGCTGCCTGAGAAGAGAGAGAACTTTGAAGGGCTTTGTAGGCAGCCCAAGACTGGAGACTAGTGTAGTTGTCAGACCAAGACCAACGCTGCTTGCAAGGCCCTGAAGACCTGGCCCCATTGCAGGTGAGTGGGAACTGGGACAACACTGCCTGGAAACAGGTCCCTGCAGAGCCAGCACATTGTATCTTTACAAATGAATGTGTATCCAAGGCCTCTGTGTTATTTTCTTATTTTATATGTCAGTCTTCACATTTCTGCTACTACTGTATTAATGAAGTGAATAAGAAAGTTACAATGTTGTAGACACTGCTCTAACGTGAATATAGGAATCAAAACAAATTTGTCCTTAGGTTGTCAACATTAAATGTGAAACTAACCCTCCCCCCAAATTTCCTTATCTGCATAGGAACATCTTTTAGCCAGTCAGTTCTTTGGCAATGTTTTGCAGAAAACTTGAGAAGCATTTATATCTTTTTATCTATTTCCTCAAAAAATTAATACAGCAATTTATGAGATTATAAAAAAACCCAGCATTACAATGGCAGTGTAAAATGTTAGCTGTTTAGAGCCATACCTGATGGTTTCTAGATCTCTGAAGTGCTTGTGCTGGGCTTTTAGAGTTGTTTCAAGTTCTAATTTAGCCTGTGCAAGTTCATTCTTCAGTTCAGCAACTGTCATTCTTTCAGAATTCAGCTGTTCCTGAAGTTCTGCTGCCCTGTCTTTCACACTACGAAGTTCAACTTGCATCTCCAGTATCTGTGACTGCTTCTGCTGCATATTGTACTCCAGCATTTCTAGAGAAAATATCATTAATATGCAAGTTACTAGGGTGATTTATGACAAATAACACTACTCATTTGTTGTGAAATTTGTCCCTGCAGAGACAGTAAACACAAGATCCACACACAACTTATGCTCCTTTCAAAATGCCAGTGAATAGACCCTGGGCCCTCAGTAGAGAAATGAATGTCACCCTTGCATGAATTCACTTAAAACTTAAATAAAAGACAGAATGATAACTGTGTATTCATAGTATAACAAAAATGACTGCAATCCATTATCATTATAAGAATTATGGTCAAGCAAAAATACATGCATTCTGTAGAGTATATGGATATTCTAACATAATTCCATTACTATTTAAAAGTAAAACCATGCTTTTTAATAGTATGCAATACTCTGTGATATTAAAAAATACTTGTCTAAGTGCAGAGAACATACAGGTTTGAGTATGAAAAATTACAGTACATACACCTGAAGTTTGACCATTTTCTTCTTTAAGTCTATTTCTGATTTAATACATTCAGTAACTCTGACTTTTGAGCAACTTTTCAAAGCTGGGAGACCCAAACACTTAAGTATACACTTGGAAAAAAATCCTGAAGGTACAAAATAGCTCAGCATCTCTCTAAATTAGTTATCAGTGGTAGAAGTCCGAGCACAAGAAAGCTTTCTAAATTTTTGTGAGGTAAGCTGGTTACGTAACACTGGAAGTGCAGAATACTCAAAATGATAAGGACAAAGAAAGGAAGGTCACAACAGAAAAAATATTATAAAAACTTCTCCATAAGCATATAAACGTGCACATATCTATACATATTACCACACCTTGGCTTTTTGGATCAATCTCTTGTTCTCTCTTTGCATTAGTTTTTCTACTGTTCATCTGGGAGTGTAATACTTGAATTTCCATTAGCAAACTTCTTCTGTCTGCATTCTGAAGGGAGTCCATTGCTGCTCTTTGTTCAATACCCTGTCAGTGTTTAAAAACAAATTTAATGGTAAAGGTCCAGAAAATGTTATCAAAGCAGCACTCTTATTTAAAGATCTATGGAACATTACTACTACTTGAGCATTTATTGTGTTTATATAATCAAACCATTTTTCAAAGAAGTAATAATTAAGACGCCATTATAATAGGAGTTGCTTTATGTTTTTCCATTGTAATGATACATCACAAATTAACATATAGCATGGAAATTTTGAATAGAAGTGTGTTTTTGTTACCTGTTCTTGAAGTCTGTGATCTAACTGGCCCATCAATACCACTGCATCCCTTGCACCTAATTCTGCAAGTTCTGTTTGAAATGCAGCTAAAAGAATGTCTTGTTCTCTTATGAAGACCTGCTGAACAGCATGCAGAAGTTCACTTCGCCAGTCTGGGACATTTTCAGAAGACTCACAACTTGTATAAACCTACAATGGGATAAAAGGAATTAACTAATCTAACAGAATTTCAAGAATACTGACCGAATCAAATTCTAAATCTTAAAGATGCTCAGCCAGTGGAACACTGCTGCTCTTATTTGATAGCTTTGTGCACCATTGAATATATAGTAGGCTTCATAAACACACATACTATAAATGTGCTGTTATTCCCTTAGTATGCATAAATGCCATCTTTTCTGTAAGCAAATTGACATTTGCATTTTTTTACAGAAGCAACTTAGATTTCTTTGTTGAAAATGTAGCTTATGTGGCAAAATATTGTCTGGTGTAATTGTATTATATTGCCTTTGGTTTTCACAGCTTGTATTTATTATGAAACTAAGTCATACTGTACTGTACCATGCCACTATGTACCAAGTTAATGAATTCTATAAAACAGATATCATCTTAGCTCTGTTTTGTAGAAATACTGGGGATTCTCAAATGGCACGGAGTTAGCCATCTCTATCCCTATGCACAGAAGGTATCCTGGAATAATGCTTAAAAGGAGTTGATGTCTTGCCACATGTGACATTGTTCATGACATAGTTAAACTTCTAGAAATCTTTGCAAAGCAGTGCTTTATATTCTGTAACTGTTGCCTCTCCCATGGATCTTGCATTGTTAAAAGATGGATGTTGATACTTCTTAACCAAGAACCAAAAAAATTTCTCACATGACTAAAAACAAATGTATACTAAAAACAAATTGCTGGAAACAAACGGAAGTCAGGCAGATGGAATAGGACCAATTTTTTATAATGATTATGACAAGCAAGCTTTATAAAGCATTACAGTATAAAATAAGACAACAAAGCATATCTTATAAATATTTTTTCTTCTTTGTACATCTAAAAATTAGAAAATCTCAACAGAAGGGTAGGTCAGTGCAGCCCATCTGAATAAAATATAGTGCCCATTGTGTTTATTTTTCTTCAGCACCAATTCTTTTTCAAGTCAGTGAACAACTACATGAAATACATTTAAACTTCCTCTTCATTCTCATAGCTGAACAGTACCTTTCTTTCCCATTTTCAATAATTCTTATTTCTTCATGAGCTGTAAATGTCTGGCAAACATCACTAAACTTCTATGTAGCCGAGAGAGACTGTTGCCTCCTCTCTCAGCGTATCACATCTGATTAGTGTGGTCCTGCCCTCCATTGGGTGGAGGTGCATCAGGCAGCCCTGCACCTCATCTGCATATATATTTTGGAGGGTCCCAGGACTTGCGACAAGAATACTTGGTTCCACTCTCAAGTTGGGGGCTAACATGGCTCCTTTCTTGCGGGTGAGGGTGGGGGAGGGAGCAAAGGGTATCTGGAATACACACACATACTGAGTAGTGCTGGACTGTGGGGTCACCATGGCTTGAAACACTAGCCTTTTGGCTCTGGACTAATACCACGCATAGTTTGTACTATGGATAAGTAGGTATAAAAGTGCTGATTAAAAGTATGTTTATGGAGTATCTGGGCTGAAATGTGCAGCATTTTGCAACAAGTTAAAATGCATCAATTCTGCACTAACTTACCCATAGTAATTTCCATATATGCAAGTTCTTATGGGTATGTTTATTGAAAAGTCAGTGTTTTTTTGGTGCACTTCATTTCAGATCAACAAGGTAGGGGTGCAGGCAGGCAATGATAATTAGATTCTGCACCTTGAGTCTGGGTTAGGGCCAGAGTTAGACCCACATCAGTTTCCTGTCCCCCTCTGCAGCTTCTGCCCTCCCCTCTGTCCCTTTCCCCCTTACTGTCATGTACAGCTCACTTCCACTCACTTCCTACCATGTTGTGTTTGGGGGGCGAAACAGAGCCTGAGCTGGGTTTGACAGTAACGGAGGGCAGGAAGGTGGCAGGGGGAAGAAGTGATGTGGGACAGAAGGCAAAGGAGCAACCTGACCCTCAGTCATCTGACTCCCCCAGTACTTATTTTTCGTACTGTAGTAGTGGGAGGGGGATGAATTCAAGACAACCCTCTGATAATTAGATTCTATACCTGGAAATTTATAATAAATTTATACATTTTCCATATACAGAATCTAATTATTGAGGGGTTGTCTTATATTCAGGGTCGTTTTACATACGAGTAAATATGTATGTAAAACAACATTTTGACAACCCTAGGTGCTTCAGCATCCTGGTTAATAATCACTGGTATATGCAAATGGCATCAATGCAGCTAACAAAAATAATAAAATGTAATGCTATTTACATATAATCACATTCTACACATTTTACCTGTAGTTGCAATTACTGCTTATTTCTCACATTCTAGGCTATGAAGAGAATTATGAAAATATCAAAGGTAAGTCATTAGGCCTTAGAAATATTGATATATGAAGAGTTATTGTTTGTACCTCAGCTTCCCTGTGCAGTTGCATTTTTGTAATTAAATCCTTCAAAGATGAAATGGTGCTCAGAAAAGTTTTCCTTTCCTCAAGCCATAACTCTGGCCCTTGTTTAAGAGATGATGTCTCTCTTTCACTATAGGGAAATTCTGTGAGAGAGAGTACCTGTACACCTTCATGATGGACTGCTGTCAGCAAACCCTGTAAATAAAATAGGAATAAAATTAGTTATCCTGTTTCACACAGGCTGGATTCTGGCATTACTTAGTGAATCAGAGAAAAGAGGCTGCTTATGCAGAGAAAGCTTTTGCTTACGTAGAGATGAGTGGGTAAAAATTATCAGAACTGGGACTTGGTAGGCCAAAAGTGCCTCATGCTTTAATAGTGTTTTAGCAGATACAGTCTTTCTTGCATATAACCTGTGCCTTTTTCCCCAAAACAAGCAGGTGGGAACTGGAGCATACATTATATGCAAGGAAAATGAATCTTCACAGATCTAGAAATTTGTTGGTGAGGAAGCTGTGGAAGCATTAATTGGCAGCATTAATGTGGCAATTATTGCTGCCACCACTCCTCTGCTGCCAAATTTCTGGACCCATGGGGATCCCTGTTGGATAGATAACACTGCCCTATGAGCTGGCTTGGGACAGAGCGTGAGTTCAGTCTGCAACCAGACTCTGGGCTATCTGCCACTATGCACTCTGCCTGGGGATGCAACAGTTGGTGGCAGAGGTCCCCATCTCCAACCCCTAGTAATGTAGGGCACATACCTGATGTCTGTCCCATGTTTACTTATTAAAAAAGTAAAAGCCATCTCTCTGCTGTACCTTTATTTTCTTTGGAAGTAAGTCTGTTGAGGCTTCACCTTCGTCTCCCATTCCTTCTGATATTGTGTCAGACCCCTGGCTCGGAGCAGCATAAATCCCTTGACCCCAGTCTGAACTAGAGTCTAAAGCAAAGGGGAAAGTATGCAACTTGAACAACTGTGAAAGCACCAAAAAACATTAAAAAAATTATGCCGATTTTTTTCTTGTTTCAACAAATGATTGCGTGCCAGTGTGGTTTTCTAATTTATAGCTGGGAGGTTCTTCATTAGATAAGTTTCTGTTCACTTCAAAAAAACAGTAGCAAAAAAACCAAACATTTTAAATATCAGGAAGACAAAACTGACACATTCATGAACACTCATGTACATTGCACAAACTGACCCTTTCCCATTCCCATAGTCTCTGACTCCTTATAAAAAGATGAGGAGAAAACAACACCTGCTCCCACTCATTGTAGTGTTCCAGGGGGGACTCCAGCTTTATAGTCTCAAGATAACTGAGAAAGCTACCCTAAAGAAATGCCAAAAAAAAAATCAGTAAAAAGAAAGGAAGGAGGACTCTGCTGTTGGAGAAGGAATCAGGTTACAGGGTCCTTCTTGCAAATAATCCAGACATTTCTAGCTAAAGAAATTAAAATAAATACAAAGATGCTGTGCTCATCACTTTTGCTTATGTAATGAAATAGTTTGACAACATTTGTGCTAGTGGTTTTATTTAAATTCTTTGTCTTGTGTTATTACAAGGTTTTTTGTTTTTTTAATGTTTTGCTTCTTGAGATATGGGTCTTAAAGCAAGGAATCCTTCTCATATGGAAATCTACTACACCAAACAAATGATGATGTTGGTTTCAAAGTTGGTTTAAACTGGATCAGATTTTCATTACAGATACTGGATGTTCTTGGGAAAAGATCATAGGCAAAGGAGAACAAAAAGGGCAGATGCAGCCTGCAGAAGCAGAAATATGGGATCTAGGATGGGACTTGTTGATAGGATTAATATACCGCTTGTGCTGTGGTTTTTCCTGAACTTCAAACACTTTTGCTGCTGTGAACTAAAAGTACAAAAGAAAAACTGAAAACATAAAAATAAGTTCCCGGTGTGCTCTTAATACAATCTTGATTTGCTCTAGGGTCATTGTGGGCAAATCACAATGAAGAAACACTTTCAGGATCAATACATTATTGTATGTAAAATGACTGTAGTTAGTGTCCATTGTGCTGTAACAGGTATTTTGTTACTATTGTTTAGTATACACGCACATTGTATACAAATAAAGTCTATGTTAAAAAAAACAAAACCCCAAATGTTACTTCATAATACTACTGCAGAAAATGTGAAGACTAAACATTTTTTCTTACCACTAGAGCATCCATCTCTGGCCTGGTAAGATGCCGAGTGCACTAACCCAGGAATGGAGCCCCCCTGTATTTGGAAAAGAGAACATTTAAAACTTCAAAAGAAAAAAACCCACTGTCATATAAATGAGCAGAACTGCTGAGGGAAGCACAGGAAATGCTTCTTCAACTTGCTGGTGACACACAAATCATTTAAAACAGGGACTACAAAGGTTCAGGTCCATGGTCTGACCCATATGTTTCACCAACCCACTTAACTGGCCATGTACAGGGGCAGCAGGCTGCAGGTGCCTACAAGATGGCAAAGTGTGATCACTTCTTGAGGGTTGTGGAGGGATCCAGGAACACTTACTAGGTGGGTAACTTCATACCAATCCAAATACCTTACAGTGCCTTAATCGCATAGCCTTGTTTTTCATCTTTAAGAAGTCTCAAAATAGACTTGATAGCAGGCATATGAACCAAAATAATTCTTGATATCATGCAAAGTTACATAATATGTATAAAATACAATATATACCTCCTCTTTAGCTCTCTGAGTCTCTATGACTTCTTTCAAAGTATTACATTCATCTATTAATACCTGGACTGCAACAAATTGTTCTCTTTTCAAGGCTTCAGCTTCAGAAATATGCCTAGTTTCCATGTCCATGATTTCAGCAGCATGGAGCTCTTGCATTTGGTCAATTTTCTCAGTAAACTCTCTTATGATCTCTGCAACTTCCTCAGAGGAACATCCACTAGGTAAATCAATTTGGATTTCTGCATCTTTAACAAGGACCTGTGAAGTTTGGCTCCAGCTATTGATTTGCCTAGTTTTGTCAGTACGAGATGAGCTTTTTCTGATTTGAGCAGGCTTTTTAGTAGAAACACTGTCTGATTTGTCAACAACCTTTCTGCTTGCAAGTCCTGCTATTTCCTTTTCCTTTCTCACATAATTGGCAAGCTTTTTTTCAGTTTGAACTAGGTTGTCCTTGACTCGGTGTAGTTCTTCTTGCAAATGGGCCACACTTTCTTCTCTCACCTACAAATGTAAAGAATTTGAATTGCAAAACCTCCAAGGTCAGTATTTTTAAACTGCTCTCCATACAGAGTTATCAGAGATATATTTTAGATTAAAGTGTATTTATCCTGATTATATCTGTTACATGAGAACACAAAGTTAGTAGAAGAAAGAGAGGGCTAGATTCTTTTGCTCACACACAAACTTAAATAGTAAGGCTGTGTGAAATGGCTGCATTTATATTCAGTTGCAATTCAGCCATTTCAGAGGACAGTGATTTGTTTTGGTGTTCCGGATCACTGTCCTGTTTCATTTTAGCTGAATCTCCTCTGAATCTGTTTCAAACAGGCTGCAAGGGAAGCTTCGCACAGCTCTACCCAGCCGGTCAGGGCTGTTGGTGGCTTGTCCCGGGGAGGGCCAGTGCCCTCTGTGCAGGTGAGGAGACCCCGTGCGGCTCTCTGATCCCTGTCATGCCAGGTCGCAGGGCAGGGAAGCAGTGCAGTGCAGAGCAGAGAGCAAGCTTACTGGTCCCTGCTGCATGACTCAGTTCTGCAGGGAGCAGAGATCCACATCCTCCTCGCTGATGCTGCCCACCCCATGCAGCCCTGGATCTCAGCTCCCTGCAGAAGCAGGTCATACGTACTGGGGTCTCCTTGCTGCCGCTGCCCACCCTGGATCTCTGCTCCCCATGGAGTCAGGTTACGCGACAGGGACCAGCACTGCCCTGCCACACAACCTGGCGCCACAGGGAGCAGAGATCCATGCTTGGAGCTTCCTCGCTGCTGCTGCCTGACCTGTGCAGTGCTGGTGGTGGCAAGACCACCAGTGTGGATCTCTGCTCCCTGCGAAACTGAGTCACATGGCAGGGTAGCAGCGTACAGCTGTTTTCTTGCAAGCCTGGCTCCAAAACTCTGACATTTTCCGAAACATTCTGGATGCCTCGTTTAGTTTGGGAAATGTTTCTGAGCCTTCCAGTTTGATTCAGATTCAGTCTTTCAGGTGCTGAAATGCCCCCAAACACCTCTGAAACTAAACGGCTGCTGAAATTTTGCACAGCTCTATTAAATAGCTCTATTGAAGCTAAATGGAACCACACTGACTTAACCTGAATTAGATGTCCAATTGGTGTATCAGTAGGAGCCTACCAAAGTCAAGGCAGCTGCCAGCCAATTTCGTAGGCAGACTGTGGGCCTGCCAGCCATTTTCACAGAAGCAGGGTGGTTCTTCCATGCTGCTGGTTGGCCAAGGAGACCCAGTGGCTCCACCCCTTGCTGCTGATTGGCTGCAAAGGATGCCTGTCATACAGACCCACTCCTTGCTGCTGACTGGCTGCTAGGGCTGTCCATCATGCTGCCCTGCCCCTCACCAAGTGGTGGTGAGGGGCAGGGGTGGCAGCCATCTTGCTGTGCCAGCAGCCCTCCTCTCCCCCCAACTCCTATGGCAGGCTGTATAGCCGGGCCATAGTGCCCACAAGGACTGCTGGCCCTCCAGAGGGAGCCAGTATTTTACTTTTGGTGAGTTTTTTTTTTCCCCAGGGAGCCTGCCAAAAGTACAGACCTTGTGCTTTTTCGTGGAGTCTGTGCTTTTTTGTGGCGCCTGCCTAAAATCAGTTTCCATGAAAATCGCAAAATTGCGATTTTGGTGGGTCCCTAGTTATCAGATGTTGTTTCTAAATGTATGAAGAGTGTATACTATTCAATCATTTTTATAAAACACAGTTTTTCAGTGCAAGATAGAACAGGTATGGCAATCTAATTCTTACCACTAATTCCTCTTGAAGTTTTTCTACTTTTCCTCTGTAACTGCTCAGTTCTTCCTTAGCAGCAGTTGACTCTGCTTTGATTTTCTCTAGTTCAAGGCCATCAATGAACACACTTCCTTCTTGACCGTAAGTGAGCTCTGAGACTCCCTATATCAGTACAGATTATAAGAAATGGTTAATAAGACGTATCTTATTACCACTGCATGACACCTCACAAAAATTAAGCATGAGCCACACCTGGGAGAAAATCTTAGGTAGTTGTTTGATGAACCTATCTTCCCAAAACTAATTTAAGAAGTCCAATTTTCAAGGCTAATTGGGATCCACAAAATAGAAAAAAGGTTTTGTGAAAGTGTTGTGAAAAAGGTTATCTTCTTGAAGTTTTCTGGAACACTACTAGAAAATAACAGGAATGTTAACAAACAATAACTCTGTGAAAATTAAAGGCAGCTCACATTATGAAATCTGAAATAGATTTCTAACTAATTCAGCCACTTTTGCGCCAATGGTTCAGGCTCTAAACTCCAAGATCTGGGGGAACTTACATTTCCTGAAGAAAAGTTGAGGATTTATTTTAATAAAATTGCTAGCTACAGAACACAGAATTTCTCTCTTGGAAAATGGAAGATAAGACTCAACTCAGCTTTGACTCAAGGGGTCAAACTCTGATGCCATTACTAGCAGCTGACAGAAGTCACTGAAGCTGTATACACTTTCTCATTCTTGCTGAATCTTTCTGGTTGAGGCTGCTGTCATGATTCTGTATTTCTGCTTCCTCCTCCCTCAACCTCTGCCAGCTTAGGGCTCTCTTGAATCTCATCTTTGTGTTTGTTTTTAATCTCTTCTACTAACTGCTGAAGTTCTAACAGTCTCTTTTTTTTCTTTCTTCCTCAGCATTTAAATCACAAAGGAGTATCATTTTGTATTTTACTTCATATTTACTTAATCTCTATATTTGATCCATGGAGTGGAAAATTGAAGACCCAAGGCAGCAAGGCTGGAAGGTGAAAAGCTGTAGGATCACACTCACCTCAGTCTTTGAGGAGACAAAGATAAAACACTAATGGGCTTTCAAACTTCAAAAGCAGCAAAGGTAGCACAGTGTTAAAGTTGATTGTGTTAACAAACAGCTGAGTGCAAGGTGGGACGAAAGGGTGTCATCCATGGACATTATTCTTTTACTCTGAACTGCAACTGAAAAAACTTTCAATTCTGAAGCTATTATATTGCTATATTAACTCATGTTTTAAAAATGAGCTGTACACACATACAAACAACACATGGTTGTTCCAGGGTTACTCTTGCCAAGCACTAAACAAAAGAGGGAACGTTCCAGGATGCCACGAAATATAAGGAATAGAAATTTTGCAAATATATCCAACAGATTTCCATGTAGACTCCATGTAGGCCTTCATAAGGAAGTGGAATGATTCCCCCCCCACCCCAAAGTTATCTTCAGAGCTCTGGAGAGTTGTCAAGTTAGTCCTAATGGACTTGGTTTCAATTCATTCCTCCATGTGCAATGAAAACAACCTCCTGGTGTTAGGAGCAAGGAAGCAAAATCATCTGAAGCAGGACAAAGCAACAATAAGACTGTTACTTAAATGATAAAACTCTCTCAAGTTTACATTATAGTTTTATGAGGTCAGCTTAATTCTGTGCCAGGTGAATTCGTGCGTGTATTTTTTCTAAAGGCAGATGGGTTAATGTTCCTGATTAACAGAACATAGTTTTCTGAAAAAGAATAGTGCTGAATAGCTCCAATATTAAAGTATACAACTGCTAAATCCATACTATTTTAATAACTGTAAAACACCTCAGAGGGACTTGGGCAGAGAGACTGGCTTTAAGAACTGCCAAGAGAGATGGGGAGAAGACCCCTTATGAAGAGAGGCAGGATGGTTTGCGCCCCAGTGTTTAGGTGTTGATCTGGAATTTGGATGACGTGGGTTCAATTCCTTGCTCTGTCATATGCTTCCTGAACACTTTTCTGCTTCAGTCTGCCATATTTAAATGAGGATAACGGTATGTCCCTCCTCCTGAGGTTGTGAAGAGAGCTATTTATAATGATTATAGTAATGATAGCTATATAAGTAGAATAAATAGAGCTGGTGATGCTGTTGGTCTTGGTTATATATTGCCAAAAATCTTTATTTGAGGAATCCCTTTGAATGAACTGTACCAGCTTGTACATTTTTACTGTATTATGTTCATAAGTAAATCAATACACGTTCCAAACTAAGCAATAGAAAATTCCATTGCCTCTAAAATCAACTTGACTGCAGCAAATACAACAATTATCTTATCTTCTGAAGAAAGTCATAAAATAGAGAAAATGTGTCTTATTTTAAAGACATCTCATGTCCAAGAAAAGGCTGGATATGCTTAACTAAATCTTTATGGGAAACTGTCAGTGGAATTTATCTAAATCACAACTTTTCATGTCTTTGTAACTCAAGAAGAATAATACATAAATGTATATCTATTATATGTCTTCTGCAATAACAGGAGGTGAATACAACTACTGTTAGTCTCATTAAAGAAGTGTTTTGCCTTATTTGTAGGTAAAGTGAGCAAAAGGTCAGGTGGTGCACAAATATTTACCTCAGATGTTTGCACCTCTGCCTGCTTAGGGCTCTCTTGAATCTCGTCTTTGTGTTTGTTTTTAATCTCTTCTACTAACTGCTGAAGTTCTAACAGTCTCTTTTCTTTTTCTTTAGCTTCTTTCTGTGAAACTTCTACATTTTCTTTTTCTAATTCCAGGCTATTTTGCATCTTTGCCAGCTTGTTCTCCATCTCTGACAGTCTCTCTGTTAATACTGATAATTTTGATTCTGTTTCTTCTTCAGCTATACCATTGAAATTTTCTGTTTGTGTACTTCTGTTTGATTCTTTGACACCCTTTGAAACTGTCTGAATTTCTTGCATGAATTTACTATGTTCCTGAACTGCATTTAGTTGAGCTTGACTGACAAGAGCAGCAGCTAACTTTTCCTCCAGCATTTCTTTCATTTCCTGGATTTTCTTTTTAAGCACTTCTGTTTCAGCCTGGGCTTGTTCTTTCAGCTTCTCTATTTGGTTGTAACAGCAGCACAGTTCTGAATCCTTTTCTTTAACAGTGGCCTGATACTGCTGCAGCCTTGCCTCCAGATTACTGATTATGACCCTTTCTTCAACAACCTTAAGTTGCATTTCATTTTCTAACAATTCTTGTGTTCTTTCACTTTGGCCTTCTTCCAATTTTTCACTTTTATCTTCACCTCTGTCCTCTACTTGTGCCTTATCAATTTTCATCAGTATAAATTTATATTTCTCTGTTACCTTCTCATGTTCCCTCTTTAATGTATTTATTTCTTGCTTCAACTGATTCATTTTTAATCTGTTTTCCTCAAGCTCATCCTTTGTACGAGAGGCTTCTGCACTATTATTTTCCACTTGCATCTCCAAAGCAGCTTTTTCTGCCAATAGTGTATCAAGCTGGTATTTCAGACTTTCTGTATCCTCCTGAAAGGAAGCAAAGTCTACAGGTACCTTTTGTTCAATATTTGCCAATTCCTGCTGAAGTTTTTCAATAACTTCATTCAACTGGTCTATTTCATCTTCACTCTTTTTCTTGATACGTTCTTGATCACTTTTTAGATACTCTATCTGGCCTTCAAGCTCCCTTATATGCTCATTTTTTTCTTCAATTACCTGAGAAGTCAATGAAAGAAATATATAATATGTAATTATTAAATAACTAGAGAAGAAAGTCTTCTAGTCTGTATGGAAGCAGTTCATTTAATCATTTAGCCTGATAACTTGTAAAAGGAAGTACATCCACAATAACTGAAATGCTCTTGATGGAGTGTCTCTCAGATCTGAATAAGTCAAAGTACTTCTATGTGGGACTCAGAAAAAGTAGAACTTTTTGAACTACCTACCATCTACAAGGCTTTGTGAAAGCTGAAGCCTTCATATTTTCTCCACTATTATTATCTACACCTCAGACTTGCCCATCTTCTGAGAAAATTACAACTGAGGCCAATGGACTACCAAAGCAACAAGATCTGTGTTGGAAGATTTCCATTCATGATCAGGCTTTTAACACTAGCTTGACTACAAGAATCCAAAAAACTAAGGCTTATGTAGCATGTTACCTTCAGTAAACCACATAAACAATCTCCCTTATTCTAAAAAGGACTGGAACCTCCAAACTGAAGAAAAACAAAAGTTTTATACTACATTCAACTAGACTAGTTTAATACTATGTTACTTCACTATTTGAAAAGGGAAAGCTCTCCTTTCCAAACAGATTCATACAGCATCATACAGTATACAGGTAAACCTTTAAATTGCCTGTAACACTTAAAAGTTAGATTTATAAAGGAAATGTAAGCCCCTCACCATATTAGTGCTGACAAGTACAAAAACAATATATATTCTCTTTGATATACATATATTGTAAAACTTGGCTGTAATGAAATGATTTAGTTTGCATAATAATCTACTGAAAGAAGAGAGTGATGAAAGTATAGTGCTATTTGTCAAAAGAATCTATAATGCTGAAATGATCACTCAGCGATGAAGAGCTTTGTGATGATCAGAAAAGAGCAAAAATTATTTTTCAGGCAGTGTTAATGGAATTTAAGGTTACTACGTTTGTGTGCTTAGATACTAGTTAAGTAACAAGATACAGCTGAATTTGTCATCATTGAGGCTCCCCAATAAAGAGAACAATTACTTTAGATCCAAAAAGTACAGCAAATCAGAGAAGGTGGCATCATAGGCCTTGCTAACAGAGAGTAAAATGAGTAGGAATACGAGAATAAGAGGGAAATTTCACATCAGTGGAAATAAAATTAATAAAATAGGGAAAATATTTACCAAGTGCAGAAGTATTAGAAGAGAATTAGCTTTCAAGAGAGTATGCTCTGGAGAATTAAGAAATATAAAATGCGATTTGCAGTGAAAGGAATTTTCTTTTTCCAAAAATGTAGAAGAATGCCCAAAGACCCTTACAGATGCCATAATAAAGGCACAGAACACTGTAAGGAAGAAGGATGTAAGAAACAAAGTGGACAACATGGCTCTGTAAAGAACAATTCCAAGAGTTGAGGTTTTAAAAACATCTGTATTCAAATAGCAAAGGAAGCAGAGAATCAAAACAAGAATATTTAGTCAGTCAAGCCTTGTATAAAAAAAGACAACCATAGCAACACCCCAAATGATTTATGGTAACCAAAGTAGTTAACGAGAGTGAGTAGGGCTTTTAGAAAATATTCCAAAAAAAAAATTCATTGGGAAAAAACCTGCTGCTTAAAAAAGGGCTGGGCTAAAATTTTGTGATTAAAATGGCTGAGCTACTGAATTTCCTTTTCTACTCCATCCTTCAATACATACAGCCACTTAGATAATAATGTAAACATACAGAATTACCTTGTAAAAAGCATTAGGATAGTTGGAAAATGTGAACTATATAAATTGGTAGGGCTGATTTTGCATTCTGGTATTTTAAGATAACTAAAAAAAGCAAGGCAATGGCATCCCAGAAATCACTATCTACCATGTTTAACTTCAGTCCTTACTAAAAAGAAAATAGAACATCTATTAAGGAAAACTAAAAAAAAAAAAAAAATCTTCTAGTGTATAACACAAGCATAAATAGCAGCAAGAAGAAGAACCAGATATAAAATTGTATATGCCATACAATTAGATATGTTTTAGTAAAACATTAAATACAATGTAATGAAATCTTGCACAGAAAATTCTTCAAAATTTGGCTATGCATAAATATTGAAAAAATATTTTGAAAATTGGTCAAAGGCAGTGATAAAAAAAAACAAAAAAAACACATCCTAGCCAGCAGCAACAGCCTCCTGTCACCCAGCAGTCAGATTGGGGCCTGCCTGTACCCCCAGGAGGGCTGCAGGGCTGTACCAGACTTCTCCTGGGGGTCCAGGCCACTGATCTGCTTGCCAGATGACAGGAGGCTGTTGCTGCCATCTGGGATGGTGCTGGGCGCAGCCAGCATCCAGCACCAGGAAGATCAGTGCTATTGCTGGCCTCCTGTCATCTGGCAGGCAGATTGGGGGCCCACACCCCTGGGAGGAGTCTGGCACAGCCCTGCAGCCCTCCTGCAGCTGATATGCCCTGGGCTCTATACCAGAGCCCACCAGAGGAGGGTGCGGGACGCAGGGTGAATCAGCTCATGTGGGGACCCACCTCCACCTCAATCCCAGGGTGAAGGTGGGTCCCTGCATGACCTGATTTGCCTTGGGCCCCTCTGCTGGTCCCAGGCAGCAGAACCAGCCTCCTGTCATCCGGCAGGCAGATCAGGGGCCTGCACCCCTGGGAGCATTCTGGCACAGCCCCTGCAGCCCTCCCAAGGGTGTAGGCGGGCCCCCAATCTGCCTGCCGGATTACAGGTGGCAGGTGCTGTCACCTGGGGCCGCTGGCAGCACCGATCTTTCCAGAGCTGGGTGCGGGCTTCATACAGTACTGTCCCAGGTGGCAGAAGCAGCTTCCTGTGACCTGGCAGGCCAATCAGGGGGCCTGCCGCACCCCCGGGAGAGCTACAGGGCTCTGCTGACTCCTCCCAGGGGTGCAGAGCCCCCAGTCTGTCTGCCGGATCACAGGAGTGTGGTGCTGCCAGCTGGTCGGCCCATGCCAGGAAGATCAGTGCTGCTGCTGGCCCCAGCCGACAGCACCAGCCTCCTGTCATCTGGCAGGCAGGCCAGGGGCTCACCTGCACCCCCAGGAGGTCTGCAGGGGTTGTGCCAGACTTCTCCCAGGGGTGTGGGCCCCTGATCTGCCTGCTGAAAGACAGGAAGCTGGTGCTGCCGGCAGCACTGATCTTCCCAGTGCTGGGTGAGGAATAGCTTATGGGTGAAACATTGAAACAGTGAAACAGTTTTGACAAAATGAAATGGAACAGTGCTTTTGAAACTAAACAAAACTCAAAACAAAACACTGTTCCATCAAAATGTTGAAACGAAAGTCAAAGTGGAATGGTGCTGTTTCACACAGCCCTAGACATCACTGCTCATCAGGACTTAACTGATGGGCTTCTTGGTAGGACATTTGTCTTTGTAGATAAAAATAATGATTAAATTTTATGCAAAAATAAATGTTTACAACCATTAAAACATGAAGTAAAATGTCACCACAATAAATTATTCAATTTGCTTTCTACATGACATCTGAGAACTTCTCTCCTCATCTAGTGTCTAGTGTAAATTAGACACAAAGCCAAAGGAGAATTTGCATCACTATCTACTGTACAGGAAAATAAAAGTTTAGGAAACAGCTCAAAGCTGTAACTAGTAAGGCATGTAAATACTGGAAAGTGAGTGAATCCATCTTCTATTTTTAATATATCGCTTCAAGTTTCTTGCTTGTACATCCAGCATATGTTGGAGAGGGTGGGGTTTAGTGACCAACAAGAATGTATTTACATCTCCTCAGTTCACAGCTTCAAGAGTTTTAAAAGAGTGAACTCTGATGATTAATTTTATCCAAAAGGTGGCACTAAAAGTCAACCTAGTGTATATCTTTCATTATATTATATTATGTTTTTCATTATATTTCATTGCCCATAATAGAAAAATGAATTTAATTAGCACACACATACAGCTCAGGTGCCCACATCCTGATAAACACTAACAGGCATCTGGAGGATCAGGAGTTAAACAGTATTTAGAGAGAGAAATGCAGTATTTAAAGAGCTGTTGTGAGCAGTTTTGCATTGGAACACTCCCAATTTTATACAAGGTACCTATGAACACCTTCATCAGATTGCTTTTCTGTAACAGCTAGAAACAAACTAACACTGCAAAAGATTTCCAAAGACCGTACTTTGTTATCTGTTGTGTTTTCAAGTTGTTCTTGTAGCTCTGAAATGTGTTCATTAAGATGATCTATTTTCTGCTCCTTTTCCTGCACAAATTGAACAAGTTTCCCAGCACCTAGATGATGATCTTTAATGGATGTATTTTCAGATTTCTGGATAGCTAGTCCCAATCTTTCCATTTCATCCTACCAAAAAAAGTCAAAGCATAGTTGTGGTATAATGTATGAATCTTTTCCAGAATATTCAATTAATTGATTATTTAAATTATAGGAGTTGAAAAATAAAGATTACACAAAATAAAGAATAGCTATATGAAAATTTTAATATTTTGTAAGTTGATTGGAAAAACACTTGAGACATTAAGTTTTGGATCTTTGTTTTGCAGGAGAATTCACTGAGGGTGAGTGGGTATGAAATGATAGACTTGCTTGATAATTCTCGCTCTCTCTCACAAGCCTCAAGGGCCTATAACTGCCTTAACTACAACCTTCCATCTTCTCCTATCTTGTGAAGTCTCCTTCCATTACCTTGATAATTACCTTAAATAATTTATTCTCTTGCTCAAGTTCTTGCAACCGTGTAGTGGATTCCTTTCTCTGGATTTCTAATTGCATGTGCAACTGCTGAACTTCTTCATTTTTGTTTTCTAATTCCTCTCGAAACTGTTCCAGTTGTTCTTCAAGGTTTGTGATCTATACATCCAAAGTAAGTGAAGCAAAAGTTGAAATGATCATAAGCAAAAGTAATGAGGGGCCACATTTTATAGAGCTCCATGCATTGTTACACCTACCTCATCTGACTGTATCCCTGTTAGACTAGATAAGATGAATTCAGATTCCATTTACTCCATCTGAAGTAACTCTACTGACTGCAATACCAGTGTTATGAGTCTATGGCCCAATATTCTTCTATTCAAGATAAATACTTCTATAATCTCCATTGAAATACTATCTGATTCTCCCCTTCTTTTTTTAAATAAACAAAAGAGGATTTTAGGCATCAGACTGTGGACAATATTCACTCATTCTTCTTTTTAGGACTTCCCTAAATCCATTCTGCTTACCATAAAATAATCACATATACTTAAATCCAAGGAAGTTTTTCCCCCCATTCAACATGCTAATGAGCAGCTAACATGCTGTTAATGAGAAGTGAGTTCTGAGCTTTCTCTGGATGAAGGAGCTGTTCCCTTAGCCCTAGTACAGAACCGGGAGACCTGTAGGAAGGGGGTGGAGAGATGGAGAGAAGGGAGAAAAGGGGCTCGAATTATTCCAAAATATCTTACAAGATGCTTATGTGTTTGGGCTTTCCCTTTCTCCCCGTCTTGTCCCAGCAGCTTTCCAAACCAATTCCCTCTCCTTCTCATAGAGTACTATTGTATGCAAGTAAAGCATGTTGCCTTGAGTGTCAATTAGCAAATTGCTTCTTTCAGGGAAGAGATGCTAAGGACTCCTTAAAGGAGCAGCTTTGAACATTGGTTGGAGAAAGGGAGGTGGGGATGTGAATTATAAGATCTCCTGCTGAGGTACCCGAGGCAGCCAAGGTCACCAGGAATCAGAGACGTCTCTTGCAGAAAGGGCAGGAGGAGGGGGGTGGAAGAGCAAGAGCATGCAAGCAATTGTGAGCGAGCAGTCTAGCACCCTCAACTGCTGGAAGACTTGGCTGAACACTATCACTATGTAGTGACATGCCACATGTTCACATTAAAGCTTGAAAGAAACCAGCTACAAAAATGTTCTACATTTTTCAAATAACATCTTTGTGCCTGGTTGGCCATTTTTTTGGCTGATGGCCACTCTTATTTTGCAATAATTACTTTGCATGTGTAGCATGTCAAAATTTATTGTGCAATTAACTAGTTAATTGCACAATAATTGCAATGCGAGTGAGGGACTTAGCATTGTCTTCACAAGTGTATATGCTTGCATCTGCTCAGCTTACAGGAGATGACTTCATTGAGCTGCCTTAAAAGAAAAATCACTCATAATAACTTAAAGTTAAAAGAAAACATACCTCTTTTTCCTTTCTGTCAACAGCTTCTTGTTCAGCCTGCAGCTGTACTTCAAGGGGCAATTCTCCTTTTACTTTGGCAGCTCCAAACTGCTTCCTTTCCTCAACCTTTAAATAAGCATTATACTATTAGGTAGGCAAGGTTCTTTGGGTAGATGTGATACCTTTTATTAGATATCATATAATATACTATTAGCTACTTTGTCTTTTTTTTTATTTATTACAAATTGAACAAACATTACCTTGTTCTTAGATAAATGAAATAGAAAAAGAAATAAGGCATTTACAGAAAAAAATACCTTTTGCAGTTTGTCTGCACTGATAATTAAGGCTTGTTCCAGTTCTCTTATTCTGCATTCAAGTTTCTCAATTTCTTCATTCCGTTCTTGTACATCTCTCTGAAGTTGCTCCTTAGAGAGTAAAAGTTCACTACATTTGTCTGTCTTTTCTTTTAGATGGTTTGTTAACTGTTCAACCTGGAGATAATACGGTAATAAGGTGAATGTACTGTATCATACTGGAATGGGTTTTTAGCATTACTAAACAGAGATGTTTGATGGGGAAAATACTCCTTCTTCTGTTTATAAATCTTCATCTTCTTGGTGAAAAAGAACACAGGATTAAAGAGTCCTGTAACTCCATATCCAATAAATACAAAGTTACTGATGAATTGTGTCCTGTGCAGTCCAATCTGCTAAACCCTAAAACTTACCTGTCCTTTGGAAGAGTCTCAGACTTCTTAGTCAGTTAAAGACATGATGGCATGATAGCTTGATGTTCTATGTAGCCCAACAGTGGGAGGCATCTTTACAACATCCAAAGAAGAGGTATCTCAACCTTGAGGAACAAGTTCAATACCTACAGCTCTGGTATACTTTCAGCTCTAAGAAATTATATATGGTGAGAATCCTTGAACCAAATATAGTTGGCAAAAATAAAATATGAGATGTGGGTGTTGCTATGATGCTGTGGTAAAGTTGTCTGGGTAAATTCAACCATCCATTTCCATACTTTAAAAACATCCCAGCTTACGTGTGTAACTTTACTACTTTTACATTCAAGCTATATAGATATAAAACTTCCTCGTCTGGGTTTTTAAGTAAGAGCTGAAGATAGAAAAAAGTATTTGTAATCTCCTTAATTTCAGACATTTAGGCTCAAGAACAGTTGTCAAGATGGGAAGGAAATAAGGCAAGTAAGGATTTCATCAGGAATGGTCTAGGACCAATTCTCACAACCTTTGTGAGATGAGATTTGTGAGATAAGAGAGACGTAAGGATAACATGATCAGGATAACTGAGCACAAAGTTAAACACAGTGTAATAGTAAGAGTCATGGGACAGATAAATGTAACATTTACTTTTCAGTATTTAGCAGAGGAAGTTATGTGGTAGCTTATAGTGTTAAAACAATTTGAAAAATAGGAAATAGAGTGATAATAGACCAGAGTTTAGAGAACTGCAGAACTAGATCTCATCTGTTAAAATCAGAGGCCAACAGTTGGACATCCCAGAGGGAACAGATACAGGGAAAAGAGAAGTGAATCTAGGAGAGTATTTTAAATATTCCATTCTTGTAGAAACAACAGGATGACAGAAAAAGATAAAAGTTAATAATATAAAAGGCAGCCATGGAGAGTAGAACAATGTTTCACAAACTGACTAGTATAATGCAGTATCTCAGTTATAACAAGAGCAGAAAAAGCCTCTTTTTCACCAAGAGCTGACAAGATGATGTAACAGTAGCACTTTTCTTTACTATACAATGTATTTGAAAATTTACAAAACATCACATTTCTATGCAATAAAAAAGAAAAATCAAACTTACTGATTCAATTTCATTATAAAAGAACTTTTAGCTTATTAGATCTTAGTCTGTCACATTCAATGACAGACTATTTTACCCCAAAACATGATCTTATTTAGCTGGGATGATCTTGTCTTAAGCAGAGGGATGGATTAGATGACCTTCTGTGGTCTCTTCCAGCTCTACTTTTCCATGTTCTATGACAGGCTTTTCCAACATACGGCCCGCGGGGCCGGCATGTGGCCCACCAAGTTATTTTCTGAGGCTCAAGGTGCTGCTACAGGAAACGAAAGTAAACACTGTTTACTTTTGTTCCCACCCCTTGCCCCACCCCCCCAGGCCTTCAGCAGCTTCCTAATGGCTGCTGAAGGGCTGGGGAAGGGACAAGGTTCCCACACACGCCGTGTCAGCTTGACGTTGCCGATGCGGTGCGTGTGGGAAGAGGAGTAGCTATGCGCCTCTCGGGACAGGATGAGCCCAGCAGGAGCAGCAGGGGCTCAGCTGCATTTTCCTCTTACCTGCGCTGGTCAGTCCTGAACGGCACACAGCTCTGCTGCCGCCTCTGCTGGCTGGTGCTAACGAGGGCGGGTCTGTCCCATCCAGAGCAGCATGCGGCTGAAGTTGGATTCTCACGTGCTGCTGGGACAGGAGGAGCCTG